GTGGTGACCTTTACATAATTTTCAAGGTCACTGCGACACTTTAAAGATTTCAGCATGTTAAACCTGAATTCACTGGATTTTCTTCATAGACTTCAAGACTTCCGTTGGATGTTTTTCAATAAGCAATTTCTTTCGTACTATGACATTCATATGTAACTTTTTGGTTGAGTCCCATCCGGGATTACACTTTCCGCAGTAAAGTCAGGCAGATTCTAGCACACAAAGTCGAACCCTTGAGTCAGCCACCATGGCTTCCACAAGGTGGCGGTGGCTGAGCGGTCTAGGCACCTACTTTGTGTGCCAGCACATTAGGTGCCTGACTCCCCTAGACCGCTCAGCCACGGATGGCTCAACCCAAAAAGTACTAGAATCTGTACTTTACTGAGAAAGTGTAATCCCAAATATAACATACGTTACATTTGACCACTTTCTAAAATGGCATGGTGTACTTCCTATGACATTCATGTTAAGGTCAAAGTCAGTCTTGAAAGTGTTTGTGTGTTATAACAACTAAAGAGCAAGATATCAAGAGAAGTTGACTGGTCCTGATTTTGTTGACATTTAACTTCATCTTCAACTTTCATTACTTTTTATGTTTGATTTGATAATTTGCGGCAGGGGATTATGTCACCTTAGTGACAATGCTTGCTTCATTTAAGTTTTAAGCATGATGAGATGAGATAAGATGAGATATAAACTTAAGTCCTATGGTCAGTCTCAACACAGACACAGACCCGGGCTCTATTCTCTACATGGGTACAGTGTGTGAAGCCCATTTCCTGTGTCTCTCATCATAATGTTGGTGGAACCTTACTCACTCACTCCAACCTTAAATCAACTCACAAAAGACAGTGCACTAATAATGTTGGAAAAAACACATTTGCCACTCACCCAGATTAAAAAGAACCCACATCAAATTGAGAAATGATACGTACCAAAGAACTATGGCATCAAACCAAACTCAAAACAAAGACATATGGCATTTGAGTGTTGTAACAAAATACTGGGATGAATGCCAACCCACCTGTTTAATAAGGAGATTTTTCAGAAAAAAATTACTTTCTTGTTGAACGTTGGGATAAATGAACAGCACATTAGGATTGTGATAAGATTGCAGAATACATTGCTGTTAACAATGCTTTGAAAATCTTTGTTTTGCATAATTGGAGTCTTGCTAAGGGACCGTTCATAATTTATTGGGGGTGATGATGATTTTGTGGAGAAGCATGTCGATGTGAATGACCCCCTAAAATGTATGTATCAAATAAGTGCCCCCCTGCATGTCATGTACAAAATCAATGACCCCTGTCCCCTTCCCATAATTTCTAAGCATAATTTAAAACATATTTTTATGTACAAAATTGCTGACCTCCCCTAGTACGTGTGTACAAAATTACTGATCCCCCTCTAGCTCAACACCCCCTCCCTTAAAATCATCATCACCCCCCAGCCATAAATGATGAACGGTCCCTAAACGTGCTCGTTGAATGTCTGTGTGATATCTCTCTCACCATGTTTGCCTGCTACTATGGTTAGTAAAAGTATCATTGGTTATAGGTGTCATTTGTGATGCGCGAGGAGGTGGAGCGTCACCACAGATCTGGTGTGAATGCTTTGCAGTTTGATCCGCTGCTCAACAGACTGTACTCTGCGGGGAGAGACTCCATCATTCGAATATGGAACACAAGAACAAACAAGGCAAGAATCTGTTGTACATTTTCCATGTGGGGATATTGCAGTTCAGTTTTGTGGGGTATATTGAAACAAGCTCAGTCTGTTCATTTCCAGAGCATATCTCAAAGTCAAACAGTTATCTGTTTCTTCATGAAAGTTTGTATCAGCCATGAAGTATCTTTTGCTATTCAGGAAATTTTCTTTTTCCTTTCCAAGGCAAAATGCATGCACAATGACTTATGTTCAAATATGTGTAAGGACAATTTTGAATAAAATTAATTTTTTTACAATATTACAAATATTTCCTTATCCTGACCTCATGCTATATTGCTTATCTCCCTTCTTCTTTCGACGGTTACATGGAAACTTGAATCCCTAGTTCCCTGAAGAACAGTAAAATCCCTCACCCTCGAGTGCCCTCCCCTTTCCCGCCAATACGGTCCCACGTGACCTTGGCTATGCTCTCATCACTCTCTCCTTCATGCACTTTGGCGGTTTCTTGAGTCCTGTTAATGGCTTCATATCCTTTTATACTTATTCCAAAATTCTAATATTAAGGCCGTGAATTGTGTGTTAGTACCTTCTAATATCATAACGTTGCATTTATTTACGTAAATTACTGCTAATTCTTGAAATTTATTTGAAATTGCAATTTGTAAATGTTTTGTTATGCCGTTTACACAAGGTGTAACAGGATCCCCTGATAAGGGTGTTTCCAGTCATCTGTTCATGAATTATCATCTCATCCAGCCTCAGGGAATGTAACATCCCCTGTTTACCAATTCTTGGAGTCTCCCTTTGGGGTTATTCCCGTCTCTGCCGCTCTTGCAGAGACAGCAACACAGGCCGTTGTTAAGAGGTAGTGTTCTCTTAGGAGGTTTAACCTCAGTTGCTGTAGAAGAAGAAGTCATCATCCTCTTCAGACATCCTCAGTGTGGCCATCACCATTGAAAACATCAATGCCTGCTGTTGAAGTACCTTTGTGCGTGCGGAACTTGGTGCCTACTGATGAAGAACGTTCATTTGCAAAACTGGTTCCTGCTGATGAAGTAGACATCCTTAGTTTGGCCATCATCATCGAAGATCGACATGCGTCGATGCTGCATACTTCATGCGCAAACGTTGGTGCCGCCAGTCGTCGGCATATTCTATCTAATGCACGACTCTATTCCGCCGGATCCACTCAATGAATCATCTACTACTGCTCAAGGTGTGGACCAGATTAACGGAAGGCAGTTTGGCGATACAGCACAGTTCTTCACAGTACTCCAGCATCCCCTCAATCAGTCCACACTAGCGGTATCCTTCATGGACCTTTATCCATTGGGGAATACCAGGCTCAGATGACAATGCACAGAGATAGTATCCTGGGTTGCTGATGTAGTTTTGATTTTTCTAACTTGATGAAAACAAACTATAATCTCATTAATTCTAACAGACTTTACTTATTTTCAATAATGGCTACGCCTGTCGGGAACATCCGCCAGTCTGTGGATAAATGCTATTTAGGTTGGTTTTCACCGAAGTTACAAAATCAAAACTACTTTCTACTGGTAGTAAAATATGTATTTTATTGATGGCCAATAGAATTTTGCATGACATAGCGTTATAACATGACAATTCTCTCCTGGCAGCTTAGGTGGGTGTCAATATAATACTACTTACAATATTATTGTTACTTTCGACCACAACCTCACTTCCGAGGAAGAAATCGATTTATGTTACAAGTTGTGTTATGGAAAATCTTTATGGTCATCAATCATATACATATTTTACTATAACCAGGTAAGTAGTTTTGATTCTTTAACTTCCGTGAAGCCGATCTGAACACAAGTAAGATATCGCTTCAGGCTTCCACAAATGCTTCAGCCAAGACTCACAATAGGAGCAATTGACGACAAAGCAACGATTCGCATGTCGTCGCTCATGTCGAGAAATCATCAAAATGATGAGCGTGCTACACACTTTCCATACAACTAACTGAAAATCGTTCCTCATATGACGTCACTGCAGTGCTCTGGCGACGCAGAGTTACGTGAACTCCGTCTGTGGTTTCACATGGCTGAGAGGAAGCAGGCGACTTTTGGCCACTTTTAATCGCCGGTATTAATTAACCACAAGTTTTTAAAGAATAAATTTGGTGTTCCGGATAAGACTAACCACAAATCTTTCATATGTAATGGTTAAAAGAGTAACAAAAAACAAAGTTTAGTGGTTCTTTAAGGTCAAAGTCAGTCTTGATAGTATTTGTGTGTTATAACAACTACAGAGCCAGATATCAAGAGAGGTTGACTGGTCATGATTTTGTTGACATTTAACTTCATCTTAAACTTTCATTACTTTTTATGTTTGATTTGATAATTTGCGGCGGGGGATTATGTCACCTTAGTGACAATGCTTCACATTTAAGTTTTGAGCATGATGAGATGAGATAAGATGAGATATAAACTTAAGTCCTATGGTCAGTCTCAACACAGACACAGACCGGGCTCTATTCTCTACATGGGTAAAGTGTGAAGTCCTATTTCCTGTGTCTCTCATCATAATGTTGGTGGAACCTTACTCACTCACTCCAACCTTAAATCAACTCACAAAAGACAGTGCACTAATAATGTTGGAAAAAACACATTTGCCACTCACCCAGATTAAAAAACCCACATCAAATTGAGAAATGATACGTACCAAAGAACTATGGCATCAAACCAAACTCAAAACAAAGACATATGGCATTTGAGTGTTGTAACAAAATACTGGGATGAATGCCAACCCACCTGTTTAATAAGGGAGATTTTTCAGAAAAAATTACTTTCTTGTTGAACGTTGGGATAAATGAACAGCACATTAGGATTGTGATAAGATTGCAGAATACATTGCTGTTAACAATGCTTTGAAAATCTTTGTTTTGCATAATTGGAGTCTTGCTAAGGGACCGTTCATAATTTATGGTGTGTGTGTGTGTGTGTGGGGGGGTGATGATGATTTTTGTGGAGAAGCATGTCGATGTGAATGACACCCCCTAAAATGTATGTATAAAATAAGTGCCCCCCTGCATGTCATGTACAAAATCAATGACCCCTGTCCCCTTCCCATAATTTCTAAGCATAATTTAAAACATATTTTTATGTACAAAATTACTGACCTCCCTAGTAATGCGTGTGTACAAAATTAATGACCCCTCAGCTCAACACCCCCACCCTAAAATCATCATCACCCCAGCCATAAATTATGAATGGTCCCTAAACATGCTTTGTTGAATGTCTGTGTGATCTCTCTCACCATGTTTGCCTGCTACTATGGTTAGTAAAAGTATCATTCGTTATAGGTGTCATTTGTGATGCGCGAGGAGGTGGAGCGTCACCACAGATCTGGTGTGAATGCTTTGCAGTTTGATCCGCTGCTCAACAGACTGTACTCTGCGGGGAGAGACTCCATCATTCGAATATGGAACACGAGAACAAACAAGGCAAGAATCTGTTGTACATTTTCCATGTGGGGATATTGAAACAAGCTCAGTCTGTTCATTTCCAGAGCATATCTCAAAGTCAAACAGTTATCTGTTTCTTCATGAAAGTTTGTATTCACATCAGCCATGAAGTATCTTTTGCTATTCAGGAAATTTTCTTTTTCCTTTCCAAGGCAAAATGCATGCACAATGACTTAGGTTCAAATATGTGTAACTGTAAGGACAATTTTGAATAAAATTATTATTTTTACAATATTACAAATGTTTCCTTATCCTGACCTCATGCTATATTGCTTATCTCCCTTCTTCTTTCGACGGTTACATGGAAGCTTGAATCCCTAGTTCCCTGAAGAACAGTAAAATCACTCACCCTCGAGTGCCCTCCCCTTTCCCGCCAATACGGTCCCACATGACCTGGGCTATGCTCTCATCACTCTCTCCTTCATCCACTTTGGCGGTTTCTTGAGTCCTGTTAATGGCTTCATATCCTTTTATACTTATTCCAAAATTCTAATATTAAGGCCGTGAATTGTGTTTTAATACCTTCTATTATCATAACGTTGCATTTATTTACGTAAATTACTGCTAATTCTTGAAATTTATTTGAAATTGCAATTTGTAAATGTTTTGTTATGCCGTTTACACAAGGTGTAACAGGATCCGCCTGATAAGGGTGTTTCCAGTCATCTGTTCATGAATTATCATCTCATCCAGCCTCAGGGAATGTAACATCCCCCTGTTTACCAATTCTTGGAGTCTCCCTTTGGGGTTATTCCCGTCTCTGCCGCTCTTGCAGAGACAGCAACACAGGCCGTTGTTAAGAGGTAGTGTTCTCTTAGGGAGGTTTAACCTCAGTTGGTGTAGAAGAAGAAGTCATCATCCTCTTCGTAGACATCCTCAGTGTGGCCATCACCATTGAAAACATCAATGCCTGCTGTTGAAGTACCTTTGTGCGTGAACATGGTGCCTACTGATGAAAAACGTTCATTCGCGAAAGTGGTTCCTGCTGATGAAGTAGACATCCTCAGTTTGGCCATCATCATCGAAGACATCGTCGATGCTTGCTGTCGAAGTACGTTCGTTCCACGCAGTCTACGCTATTTCGTCGTCGACCTCGCCGGATCCACTCAATGAATTATCTACTACTGCTCAAGTGTGGACCAGATTACCGGAAGGCACTTTGGCGATACAGCACAGCTCTCCACGGTACTCCAGCTCCCCCCTCAATCAGTCCACACTAGCGGTATGCTTCATGGACCTTATCCATTGGGGAATACCAGGTTCAGATGACAATGCACAGAGATAGTATCCTGGGTTGCTGATGGCCTGCCAATATCTTTGCCGACCTGTGACTCCAACCCGTCATCCAGTCCATCCCTTAGACGGAGTCTCTTCTTAGGGGGAGGGGTTTGATCTCCAAAGTTGACAACGAAGAAGAAGTCGTCATTAACTTCGAAGTCGTTGTCGTCAAAGCCTGCTGCTGAAGTGAATGCACTGGTGCCCGCTGATGAAGTAGATGCTCATCTTGCTCACAATCCCGGTTCTTTAACCTAGGTTGTTGTGAGATTCATGCAGCAGAGGACTACAACCATGTCTACAGGGTTCGCGAATCTTTCTATGCACCATGTGGCAGTTACATCGTCGGGCATGCAGTCTATGCTCTACGATGTTTCAACTGGTCCAGCAGGGGTTCGCGAACCCCTATGCCGGCATCTTATAGTCTTTCTAACCCCGGTTCTCAACAGTTTGTGAACGGGTTCGCGAACCCTTCTCCGTAGCCGACCACTCTAAATCAGCATTCTCAGCCTAGCAGCAGTGCTTCAATCATCATGCTAGCGTTTGCGAACTAGTTGGGAATTGGTTAAAATCTCATAATTGATGATTGATGACCGATCAATCATCGAAAATAATTGGTTAGCGCCATTTATGACATTTGTTAATGCACAAAAAAAGGTAAAAAACATGTAGTTATTTTTGGTCTTTTTGGCAAAATTTCACATCTTTAAAGGATGACTAGTATGTTAAGAACATAAATTACTTGGTGTCTTTAAGATAAATTCATTGATGACTTGGAACGAGCTTGTAGTGCTTATGAAATGTAACAGACAAAACCAACCTTGTGAAAATATTGTTGATGAACAAGTGTTCCAGAATTGTTTGTGTTTGATTATGAGAAAACATGATCGATTGCTTGGTCGTTTAGTCACTGTGACCAATCTTCGATTATTTCAATCAATCGGACCACCACTATTGCAAACACTACCCTGTCTCCGGCTTCAAGTGACTACTTGCCACCTCAGTTGCCTATTCAAGGCGGTCATCAAGGTAGTTCAGCACTGGGCGCATCTACTGAGGAATCAGGTCCTTATGATACACATAGACAACTCAACTGTAGCCTTCTACGTAAATCTGCTAGGCTCAACGAGATCAGCGCTGCTGCTACAACTGACGTTCCAGCTCTTCAACTGAGCAGACGACTTCAACCTATGGATGAAGGCCTGCCACATCCAGGGTCAAAGACAGTCTTAACTGATGCCTTATCCAGACTGGTCCGGCCATCGCCCACAGAGTGGATGCTGCACCCGGAAGCGTTCCAGCTGCTGACCAAAGATCAAGGCTGTCCCCTCATTGATCTGTTTACGACACGCTTCAATCGTCAGATTGCGACGTTCATCTCACCGGTACCAGATCCTCAAGTCTGGGCTCTGGAAGCACTAGCCATATCAAGGGAGGGACTGAGCAGTTAACTCAAAAGACGTTTTTCCCTCTCGCCTTAGCTACAATAGTTCAGATGTCAGCGATGCACATCCTCGACTATGGACGAACCGGATTCCACTCCAGAGAACCCATCTGGGACTTAGATGGGACTTTATAGCGAAGAATCAGCTGCCTGGTCAACTAGATAGACAATTCCATGTTCCAGCATCATCTACCATCCTTGGACTAGATGATACATAAGACCAGTCCCTGTGTCCATTAGATCCTCCTAGAGACTCCAACCCACATGAAGTTAGAGCATTAGCCTCGACTCTCGCCCTACACAAGAATTGCTCTATATCGTCTATTATGGAAGGCTGCTTCTGGAAGTCGGACACAGTGTTTGCCAGCCATTATCTTCGAGATATTGCTACAGAAGATGTATCCGGTATCCACCAGTTTGGGCTCCATGTACCAGCGCAACAACCCACGATTCCAGCCAGATGATGAAAAACTCACCCTTGTCACGCTGACTTGTTGGCGCCAGGCAACTGATCCATTGCCACCAGCAGAGAGTCCATGTTCCCCTGTCTTACAAGATGTCAGCGCATGAGTGACTTAGGCTCAGTTTTGGTAATAGTCCTTACCTTAACATATTGAGTCGCGATTCCAGTGTTGGTAATAGTCCTTACCTTAACATATGGGTCGTTACAGATAACTAGTCAACGAGGCGTACTAGTTTATCCAGTTCCACAAAATCTATATGATTTACTTCTTTTATTGATTTAAGAGAAGGTGATCCCCCGATTATCATCAGAATTTGGACACAGTAGAAGAAGCCGTAAGAGGAGTTCCCAGGGGATATATACTCAGATGCTATTTGATCGATTTGACACATACGAGGAAACCTCGACAGTAGGAACAGTACAGTGAATCCCTAGTAGGTGGTTGACCCACCACCTATTTCCGTCTGATTCGGTAAGCAATGTAGCATGAATCAGGAGAACGAAAAAATATGTAATTCTTATGATATAATTGATATTTTATACTTATCCTGACTCATGATGATTTAAAGGGTCCTCCCAACCGTCTCTCAGCACTACGGGCTTCACTTTAGGCCCTAGTGTGGGCTTATTCAGGAGAAAGTAATGAGAGCATGGCTCAGGTCACGTGGGACCGTATTGGTGGGAAAGGGGAGGGCACTTCGAGGGTGAGAGATTTTACTGTTCTTCAGGGAACTAGGGATTCAAGTTTCCATGTAACCGTCGAAAGAAGAAGGGAGATAAGCAATATAGCATGTGTCAGGATAAGTATAATTATCATTTTATCATAAAAATAACATTTTTACCTGTCCAGGACACTTAGTTTAGAGTCCTTGTTAAATCTGTGTTCGCTCAAAACTATGATTACTATATATATGGAAGATCATCAGTGTCTTGCTGTGTAATGACATGCCATGAATTCTGTAGTGTTTCCAAATCTTTTGTAGTTAAATGTTAGTTAGTGAACAGGGATTCTGTTGCCATGTTTGTGTTTTTGTCTTGTAGGATCCCTACATCCTGTCCATGGAGCATCATACTGACTGGGTGAACGACATCGTCCTCTGCTGCAATGGCAGAACATGTAAGCACACATCATTCAAGAGTCACATTCTTTTAGATCTTATTCATGCCTTGCACATTTTGAAACAATTGCAATCATGTCATTGTTGGGCATTAGAATTTGGAAGAATATGAAGATATGACAGTCTTTAGGCTATCAACTTGACTGTTTTGACGATGTCTCAGAACCACTTGACAAAAGGGCAAGAAGGAGCCGTGAAACGTTGCTAACAATATCCGGAAAAGCAGTGTGTGGCGAGTCTGAGTCTTCTCGCTCAAACATTTTCATTAGATTTTACTGCTGTCATAGAGACTACATACGACTTACTAGACAAAACAGAATTTTAGTAGATGAGAGCTTCAGACTAGTGGCTGCAGTTTCAGACTGAAAAAGTGTCATATCTTCAAATGTAACTGTTTGGTAGAATTAGATTGTTTTTAGAGTTAGAGGCCTTTTTTCCTTTATGCTTTATTTTCCATGATGAGTATAGTTAATGTGACTGTTGGTGTTTCAGTAATCTCAGCCTCCAGTGATACAACCGTCAAAGTGTGGAACGCTCATAAAGGGTTTTGTATGTCAACGTTACGGACACATAAGGTATGGTTTTACTGCTTGGATCTATGTATGTTCAGGTAGAGACAACTTCAATCTTCTGTATATGCATAACTTACTTGCACAATTCCTTTTTTATAGCCCTGTTCAAAAAGGGTTGTTACCTCCCTTGAAAGTTGTCTCCCCTGTCAAACTCTTTCTTGCTAAAAAACAACGAATGTTACTTCCGGTGAGCAAAATCCAAAATGGAAGTATCGTCAAAGCGTCATTACTGTTGCATATGTAGCAATTATCGTGGGAAACTTATCAATTGAAAATACATATCGTTGCACACACAGGGGCGTGTCACGCTTAGAAACAGCGTTAGATTAGAAACAGCGTTAGAAAGACATATAGGTATATAGACCCTACCCTAGTACACAGGCCCCCACTGCGGGTCAGAAAATCTAAGTAGGGAGTGTTGATACTAAACCGGGGCCTAGTTTATCGATTTTCTGACCCGCAGTGGGGGCCTGTGCCCTAGTACTATATAAAAGGAAAGGGATGTAACGACGGAACCACCCCCTCCTCAATCAAAGTTAGATTTCACCACGTAAACTATTTTTAAGGCCTACTGATCGAAAGCGAGATGGTTTCCCTACAAAATGAGCTATAAATAGTCACAATCGGATCATTATTTCAAAAGTTATACGCCATGACTCACCGAAAACAGCTACCTCCGCAATTCCAAGCCAAAATCATGGATCACCCAAGACAGCGAAAACTCACCTTTTAAATTCGTTTATTAATTCCAGCCACGTTGACAGCACCTATGTAGGGGTAGATTCGATCGGCAGCGGCATTCCACGGGTCTAAAACCTATTGCAACATCTAAAAAATCATTTCCTCGACAGTAAGCAGGCATTTTCTCCAAAACCATCGGCAATCATACTCACTTGTCGGCCATAGATGGCCTTGACATTTAAGTGACCTAAGCAGTAAATTGGTAAGAATAATTTTAGAGGTTAAATATTTATAAATATAATTTCCTAAAAATGAATCAATATCGAATCCATTTTTACAACCTCTAAAATTATTCTTAACAATTTACTGTTCCGTACATCATCCAAAATAGAAGGAATATTGCAAAGTTCATATTTCGAGCCCATTAGCAAACAGTCAATATCTTACAGTATATTATATTTTCCACCAATCGGGTGGTCCAATTCAGTTTCTCGGATCTGCTCAGATCACTTGAATGTCAAGGCCATCTATGGCCGACAAGTGATTATGATTGCCGATGGTTTTGGATAAAATGCCTGCTTACTGTCGAGGAAATGATTTGTAGATGTTGCAATAAGTTTTTAGACCCGTGGAATGCTGCTGCCGATCAAATCTAGCCCTACATAGGTGCTGTCAACGTGGCTGGAATTAATAAACAAATTTAAAAGGTGAGTTTTCGCTGTCTTGGGTGATCCATGATTTTGGCTTGGAATTGCGGAGGTAGCTGTTTTCGGTGAGTCGTGGCGTATAACTTTTGAAATAATGATCCGATTGTGACCATTTATAGCTCATTTTGTAGGGAAACCATCTCGCTTTCGATCAGTAGGCCTTGACGGGGCCTTAAAAATAGTTTACGTGGTGAAATCTAACTTTGATTGAGGAGGGGGTGGTTCCGTCGTTACATCCCTTTCCTTTTATATAGTACTAGGGTAGGGTCTATATACCTATTTGTCTTTCTAACGCTGTTTCTAAGCGTGACACGCCCCTGTGGTTGCACAGATTTCCTGTGAATAAATAGTACATGGTTAAACTGCTTGCTCATCTCACGGAAGCCGGTGTTCGATTCCCCACATGGGTACAATGTGTGAAGCCTGTTTGGTGTCGTTAGCTGTGATATTGGTAGAATACAGCTTACATACTGAACCACTCACTCACTGTAGGTTTGTCAACACCATATCTGGGCTCCTTTGTTCCACCAAAGTAGTAAACACCCGAGACCCACCTCCCTCTCGGCTTCCCTCCAATATTGAGCTGACATGCCATCATATAGCTGGAATACTGTTCAGGTTGGCTTACAAACCAATCTCTCACATACTAATATAGATTGTAATGGAATGTCATGTGTGTTACAGGATTATGTGAAGGCGCTTGCATATGCGAGAGACCGAGAGCAGGTGGCGTCTGCTGGACTAGACCGAGCCATCTTCCTGTGGGATGTTAACACTCTGACCGCCCTCACCGCATCAAACAACACCGTCACTAGTGAGTATCACCATCTGGGGTGTACTTATTGATCAAACACTGTCACAAGTATCACCATCCTGTGTGTACTTATTGATCAAACACTGTCACCACTAGAATATTACCATATGGAACTGTGACCATTGATCAAAGACTGTCACCACTAGAATACTACCATATGGGAGTGTGAGCTTTGATCAAACACTGTCAACACTAGAATACTACCATATGGGAGCGTGACCATTGATCAAAGACTGTCACCACTAGAATACTACCATATGGGAGTGTGAGCTTTGATCAAAGACTGTCACCACTAGATACTACCATATGGGAGTGTGACCATTGATCAAAGACTGTCACCACTAGAATACTACCATATGGGAGTGTGAGCTTTGATCAAACACTGTCAACACTAGAATACTACCATAGGGGAGCGTGACCATTGATCAAACACTGTCACCACTAGAATACTACCACATGGGAGCGTCAGCTTTGATAAAACACTGTCACCACTAGATACTACCATATGGGAGTGTCAGCTTTGATCAAACACTGTCACCACTAGAATACTACCATATGGGAGTGTGACCATTGATCAAAGACTGTCACCACTAGAATGCTACCATATGGGAGTGTCAGCTTTGATAAAACACTGTCACCACTAGATACTACCATATGGGAGTGTCAGCTTTGATAAAACACTGTCACCACTAGAATACTACCATATGGGAGTGTGAGCTTTGATCAAACACTGTCACCACGAGAATACTACCATATGGAAGCGTGACCATTGATCAAACACCATGAAAAACAAGTTTGATACATGATTAACATGAATGGAATCATTTATGAGTGGCTTCTTTGGTGTCCAAAGTATATAAGTGTTGTGTTGTTTACAGCGTCAAGTCTGACGGGGAACAAGGACTCGATCTACAGCCTGACAATGAACCCTCCTGGGACTGTGATTGTGTCCGGATCCACGGAGAAAGTGCTCCGAGTGTGGGACCCTCGCACATGTCAGAAGCTGATGAAGTTGAAAAGGACACACAGATAATGTGAAAGCATTGGTTCTAAACCGAGATGGAACACAGGTAAGATGACGCCTCACAACATGGGACCAATCATTTGTTACATACTGGATTCAATAATGTTTCACAAGAACAAATATTTCACACTATGTATAGACTGAGAAAAGGGTGGTAACTAATATCCTTCTTTAAGTGGCATTTAGAAGCTGGTATGATGAAGAGGAATACCTTTTGATGGGTAGACAACTACTTTATTGCAACAGGTGTGACATTTCGGTGCAGATGTACCCTTCATGTACCTATTTCTCCTTGTTGCGTATGTTGTGTATCATTTGCTTGATAACAGTGTAAGGATCTACACCAAAACATCACAACTATTGTAGTAAAGAAGTTGTCTATCCATGAAAAAGTGTTCCTCTTCAACTAATATCCTGCAATGACTGTGTGCTATATTTTCTCATCTTCGATATCCAGAGTGACAAATACTCTCCAAAGCACAAACAGGAAGTTGGTCCCTTGTACTTCTCATGCTTCAACATGCCATGTTCTATTACATGTGATTGTCACTTCTCCACCTGTATCATACTGCACCTGATGTGACAGCTGCAGCTGAGGCACCTGCTACAGCTGCAGCTGACCTTCAGCAGTACTACAGTGGCACCTTCTGCTTCTACAGTGGCACAGTGACACTTTTCTACAGTGGCACCTGCTACAGTGGCACCTTCTACAGTGGCACCTGCTATAGCTGCACCTTCTACAGTGGCACCTGCTACAGTGGCTGTGTCTATTCCAGTGATGTTAACTTGATGGAGGAGGCAATATTATTTGCCATCTGTGCATATTTTTTGTGAATATAGATATTCAAACAAAATCTGTGCTTGTGTTTTTCAGTGTTTGTCGGGTAGCTCTGATGGCACAATCAGGTTGTGGTCACTTGGTCAGCAGCGGTGTGTGGCCACGTTCAGGGTGCATAATGAGGGAGTGTGGGCACTACAGGTAAGTCAAGCTGTCACAACAGTCTCTCATCTTCACACGGTAGGGGTGCAGGGGAAGTCTGATGGTGACAGTGTTAACTCGTCATGCCGATGACCCGGGTTTGATTCAGGGTGAAGCACATTTCTGGTGTCCCCTGGAATATATTACTGAAAGCAGTGTAAAACCTCTCATGCTGTCACTCTTTACTTGATGACAAATACTTTGGTACAATGCATATTAAATAAGGACTTTATGGATGAACAACTTCTTTATTCGGATATGATGCGACATTTCGATACAGATTGTTGTATTGTTGTCAAGCAAGTATGAGTAAACAATGCACATTGTGAATGACATTATTGTCTTAAACTATTCCTTGAACTTATAGTCACTTGTCAGTATTGTTGCTAATAACAAAGCAGCGCTTGTTTGTTTTCCTATTCATGTATTTAACATACAAAACTAATCACAATGATTAGAAGAACTAATGTTAGGCCTACGTTATCAGTCTTTGATCATGTTTGAACAAAAATGATTATACATGTATAACTACATGCAATAATAAACAAGTTATTGTTGTCTTTATAACTAATGAATGATTATTGCATTGATTCATGCTGCAAGTTCTATATGTTCGATGTACTGATGCGGTGCTGATCTGTTCCAGGCTAATGAATCGTTCTCTATTGTGTATTCTGGTGGGAGGGACCGTCAGATCTGGGCTACTGACATCAAGAACCCTGACAACAGAACACTTATTTGTGAAGAAAAGTTTCCAGTTTTAAAAGTAAATAATGAAGATATTGGGAGGGAGGTTTATTTGCAGAGTTGTGGAAATAAAAATAATACTTATAACGTTTGGTAAATACTCTGTACTGAATGTTGTGGAATTGTATACATATTTAGGTACACCACTACCAATTAAGTGCCAACGTAGAGTTGATCTCTTCACCAACCCATGCTTGTCATAAGAGGCAACTAATGGGATCGGGTGGTCAGGCTGGTTTGACACATGTCATCGTTCGCAATTGTGTAGATCGATGCTCATGATGTTGATCACTGGATTGTCTGGTCCAGGCTTGATTATTTGCAGACTGCCATCAAATAGCTGAATTACTACTGAATGTGTTGCTGAAACAATAATGAAATGACTGAGGTTTGTGGTTGCAACCCAGATAGTCATATTGTTCATGTATGTCCGTGACGTATTATCAAGGATTGAAACTTTCGTCTTTATGTTCTCTTTCAGCTTGAACTCCACACAGAGCAGCCATCGTTATGGGTGGCCACTACCGACTCCAGTATTAGGAACTGGGTAAGATACGTTCAGCCACATTGTTACTTTTAAGCTTCATGTTTAGTTCATCAGATGGTGTACTGAATCTCATTGTGCACAGGGCCAATCAAAAGCCTCTGTTATGTTGTGTATGATTCAGCAGCCTGGGAATCAATGGTCAATGGTTCAATCAATGGTTACATCATGCCAAACGATTTTAAAAGATGACTCTTGTTGATGGTACTAAGTATGAATACAGCATTAAGCTCATTTCACTTCACCTGTGGAAGTTGTGTCTCATAGCTGTGCCAGGATCTGCTGCTGACAATCCAAAGCCTGGATTCCTCCTGATTATGATCTGTTGTCAGTCAGCACCATAACCACTGCCTCTCTTAGAGTGTAAACACTACAGTTTAGATAGTGTTTGACATTTCTCACAGTATGCAGATCTTAACAACGGAAGTAATGTTTGCTTGGTGCTAGATATCTAACTCATTTAACTTGCTCAAATCTGGATGTTTGGGTCAGTGTTTTGAGTGAAATAAACCTATTATCTCATGTTTGAATCATATTTCAGCCAATCAAAGTCCCCAATGCCAGAACATCAGGAGAATATGATAATGAAAGTTACCATCCAGCTTTTACACAGCCTGATTTTACAATTAAAGGTGAGATACACTTTGATACTGAATTTTCCTGATTACAAATTATTGTATCGTTCATATCTTCATTTTTGAACCTTTTTGTGGCAGTATTGTTAACAGTTTTAACCGATATCTATTAGTATTTGTCATGTGGCGAATACTTGACCATGATGGTTTGTCTGTTTGACAAGTTCTGGTAATAAACTGGTCTGTAATGTATTGTTCTATCTTCATTACAGGAGGTCCAAGTATTCGTCAGTACTACGTGTTAAACGACAAACGTTTTATTCTCACAAAAGACACAGATGATTGTGTTGCATTGTGGGATGTTTTAACGGTTAGTGACTATTCTTGTTTTTACAGCCATATCTAATTAGAAGAACATTTCTGACTGACTTAATTGTTGTTGAGAGTAGTCCCTGAGGAACTTTATCTAGACCTGTTTCGGTATTCATCCCAATGTCCGGAGCAGTTGTTTGTAAAAATTCTCAAATTGGAATAAAAAACATTATGAACTAATCTGTAATAAGTAATGTTATCATTTGGCCAGACCAATTTTATTTCTTGTTCTATGGATTTTTGTCCTCAGAAAACCTAAAGGCAGGAGGGAAAAAAAATATAAATAAAAATCACCAGTCAAAGTAATATTCCTTTTAAATACTAAAAGTATTTTACTTTTGGCAATTTATGCAGTGTATATGGAGAGAAAAACAATCTAAAAACATTTTCTTGCACATAAGAATAAAAATAAAAATATTAAAATTTATTTTTTAAGCGGGGAAAATTAATTATTATTTTTTTCTTATTCTTCGAAAAATATGACCGGCGGATCCGTAAATAAAATTGGTCTGGCCTTATTATTCAGTAACATCAGGACCAATATACAAGTGGATGTTTCAGTTCAGTTTTTTAGTTTTGTTTTGAATGAATTATTAAATACTACCAAATTTGGATAATAAGGGCATTGATTCCTGTTTGAACAAAATCATGATTTTCCCATTTTATCCGACCTCTTTATCACAGACACACACTCATACAGACACACTCACAAAGACAGACACATGCACACAAACAGACTCTCACACAGACACACGTCATTATGTAAGTGCAAGAACTCCCCTTGAATGCGTCGATAAGTCTCATTTCTTGTTCAGTTTCTTGCATTATGGGGATGAATGGCATCAGGAAATCGCTATAGAACTGCAACATTGTCTGTGTGCAGGTTTAATGCACAATATCCAAGTATGTTGATATTCATTGTTCAATTTCAGGCAAGGAAAGTTGAAGACTTGGGAAAGAAAGATTTTGAAGAGGAGATAAAGGCCAGAGTGAAGACTGTGTATGTTCCGAACTGGTTCTCCGTGGATCTTAAGACTGGGGTACGAACTGCCGTGTTTGTGTGCTATATTTTCACAGTACCATCTCACCAGGGCAGGATAGGTCTGCAGTAGCCAGTTCCGGTGGTAGGAGTCTGAATATCTGAGGGCTTGGAAATATCATAATTGTGAACTTGTCACCGTACAAATAGAGACGAAAAATACCCATGTTGGAAGACAAGGTCTACTTATCGAAAATATTATCCAAGTATACGAATGAGTCATCTCAGCTTTACACTTTTATCAAAGCTGTATTAGGTAGTTGTTACGATTGATCATAATTTATGAAAGGACAGCTAAATGATAAGGTTGTCCTTGACAACTGAAGCTGATTATTTGCACTCCCTGTCTCAGTGAACACGTAAGGATTAATTTCTCTCATCCCTGTAACATTGTGCCTGGACAAAGTGTGTCATTACTCACAAGTATCAACTGGTTTGTTGGACAAGGTTCTGATTATATACCGTATTTCCTCTAATAAGGCACCAGGTCTCTAAGATTTGCGGGCCCCTAATAAGTGCAGGGGGTAAAGCAACTCACTAGCAATTACGGTAATTACACCCAGTAAGCGCAAAAGAGCCAGGCCTCTAATAAGAGCCGGGTCTGGAAGTTTATTGAAAAAATAAGTGCCTGGGCGCTTATTAGAGGAAATGTAGTATAGCCTGCTGTGGTATGGGTGGAACTTTGCTGAGAGTGGCATAAAGAACACCCCCTTACTGTGTAACTTCAAGTGATCTGTGACTATGTAGCTCACCTGATATACACTAAACAAACTGACAGATCTAGTAAACCGGGTATTTTTGTCTGGGCCAGTTGCTGTATATCTCAATGTGTGTAACTTCAAGTGATCTGTGACTATGTAGCTCACCTGATATACACTAAACAAACTGACAGATCTAGTAAACCAGGTATTTTAGTCTAGGCCAGTTGCTGTATATCTCAATGTGTGTAACTTCAAGTGATCTGTGACTATGTAGCTCACCTGATATACACTAAACTAACTGACAGATCTAGTAAACCAGGTATTTTTGTCTGGGCCAGTTGCTGTATATCTCAATGTGTGTAACTTCAAGTGATCTGTGACTATGTAGCTCACCTGATATACACTAAACAAACTGACAGATCTGGTAAACCAGGTTTTTTGTCTGGGCCAGTTGCTGTATATCTCAATGTGTGTAACTTCAAGTGATCTGTGACTATGTAGCTCACCTGATATACACTAAACAAACTGACAGATCTAGTAAACCGGGTTTTATTTGTCTGGGTCAGTTGCTGTATATCTCACTGTGTGTAACTTCAAGTGATCTGTGACTATGTAGCTCACCTGATATACACTAAACAAACTGACAGATCTAGTAAACCGGGTTTTTTGTCTGGGCCAGTTGCTGTATATCTCAATGTGTGTAACTTCAAGTGATCTGTGACCATGTAGCTCACCTGATATACACTAAACAAACTGACAGATCTAGTAAACCATTTTTTTTTGTCTGGGCCAGTTGCTGTATATCTCACTGTGTGTAACTTCAAGTGATCTGTGACCATGTAGCTCACCTGATATACACTAAACAAACTGACAGATCTAGTAAACCGGGTATTTTTGTCTGGGCCAGTTGCTGTATATCTCAATGTGTGTAACTTCAAGTGATCTGTGACTATGTAGCTCACCTGATATACACTAAACTAACTGACAGATCTAGTAAACCAGGTATTTTTGTCTGGGCCAGTTGCTGTATATCTCAATGTGTGTAACTTCAAGTGATCTGTGACCATGTAGCTCACCTGATATACACTAAACAAACTGACAGATCTAGTAAACCAGGTATTTTTGTCTGGGCCAGTTGCTGTATATCTCAATGTGTGTAACTTCAAGTGATCTGTGACCATGTAGCTCACCTGATATACACTAAACAAACTGACAGATCTAGTAAACCAGGTATTTTAGTCTGGGCCAGTTGCTGTATATCTCAATGTGTGTAACGAACTATGGTTACAACAAACTAAAGATCCCTTGAGAGTTTGTTATAAGTATTGTACACTGTATAAAGGAGTCACAACTGTTGTTTTCTAGCTACTGACAATCCACTTGGAGGAGTCGGACTGTTTTGCAGCCTGGATGTCAATACGAGAACTTGGTCTTCCAATGTCCCCTGATGCCCCAGAGACTAAAAGTAAGATGGTGCCAGATTTGGCAATAGTAATACCCATGATGTTATTTTATTATGTTGACATAATACATAACAGAAATACGTTTAGACCATACGTATTCTACCTGGAATCGGTCTAAGAACATACAGATATAATGTTAAAAATGTGGAATATGGAATGTAAAAACTAATCCTTACAGAATAAAATTTCTTTACATTACCACCCTTTGAAGACTTTTCAAACATGGTTGTCATTGTAGAGACATTAGCATATCAACTTAAATGGCTTAAATAATTGTTATCAACTTTTATACAGGACATTCTTCTGTGTCGTGTATATCCTTACCAAATTTGAAATCTATGTTAAGGAAGTTTAAGGTGACCATCAGAAGATGGGGTAAAGTGTATGCAAGATGTCTACCAAAGTTCAGTGTTAAAAATACCTTTGAATTTAGGAAAGAACTTTAAAAAAATTTAAATTTTCAACATGATAGCGATCATTCCCACTTCGCCTGCAGCGGTCACTTTACTTTTAATCAGTGTAGACTGATGAATGGTGTAACACAGAATGTATTTGTTCCAGTTAACATCGGCAGTGCCCTACTACAGGCTTTGCTGGAACACTGGCCAAAAGCTCAGGCTGAGGACCCTCAAGGTACTACTTTGCTTCATGCTCAGGGGTGGGGGAGTCTTGTCATTAACACATTCTTAGCACTGACAGTGATACTTCCTGCCTCACAGATACCTGTGGCAAGCAGAGTCAGATGAGTTTCAGAACAACCCATGCTTGTCCGAGTTGAAGGGGCGGTGGGGTAGCCTAGTGGTTAAAGCGTTGGATCGTCACGCTGAAGGCCCGGGTTCGATTCCCACATGGGTACAATTTGTGAAGCCCATTTCTGGTGTCCCCCGCCGTGATATTGCTGGAATATTGCTAAAACGGCGTATAACCATTACTCAGTCAGTCCGAGTTGAAGATATGATGGTGTCTCATCAGTAGATCTTAATGTCTGCCACTGGATGGTCAGTGTCAACCCTGCATTACTTGAAAAGAATATTCTCTCACTAACTGACACATTATTTATCAGGCAATGGAATTATTCAGAAAGGTGAAGTTACAGTACATCTTAATGGTTGTATAGGAAATGTTGCTGTGGAACACTGATGTGAATGTATTGCATGTCTGCAGATGGCAGTGCCGGCACAGACAAGTCCTCCGCTTCCAACCCCATGTTTAGTGTGCCTGGTCACACACCTGTGATATTTAGGTAGGTGATAGTGGACGTTGACCATAATGACTCCCTAACAGGAACCAGCACTTGTTGCTTGTTGCAAGATTAGATTAGATACCCTGTTTGCACACTGAAGAAGCCCCCCAACACACTATTACATGTTGTAAGAGGTGACTACTGGCTAGAGGTGATCAGGCCTTTTGATTCAGTAAGTTGTGTGTTGTACACTGACAACCAGGGAAGGTGCTCTTTATGTTTACAATATGATTGTCTGGTCCAGACCTGAATCATCTACAGACTGTCAAGATGTGGCTTAGTGCCTTGTAATACAATAAACAGTTGACTCGGGTGTCAACACCAGGTGGTCATGTTCATAAAATTAATGTCTGTCATGTTTCATCAAGTTCAGGATAATGTTCAAACATTCTTCCAGTGAGGTCGGAGGTCGCACGTTGTTCCGGCTGCTGTGCCGGGATGCTGGCGGCGAGACGGAGCAGATGCTGCTGAATGAGACTGTCCCCGCCTGGGTCGTTGATGTGGTCGTCCAGAAGAACATGCCCAAGTTCAACAAGATCCCCTTCTTTCTCCAACCCCACCCCAGTACCGGCATCAAACCAATCAAAAAGTGAGAACACAGAACAAAGCTATTTCAGTAGTTGCTCAGACATTTCACAAGGAGAATGATGATTAGAACCATAAACAACAACTGTTTGCTGTTTCGATATCCAGGGGTGAAGAACAACCTTGGTGTAGTCACTGCAGAATGTGTAATAATTTTTTTCATATTTACTAGGCAAATGGATACAATATATCCTGTGTGCAAAATAGTTTCCAAATTTTGCTAACCAGTTGGGCAAGCTATGCCTGAAAGTTACTAGCCCATAATTATTTCAGTAGCCCGAAGGTGAATGTTGACACAGGTTTCATCATTAAGCTGCTAATGTGATGAACATCTTTATCCGGCCATAATCTTGCATGATTTAAAAGTGTATTATAACTTAACAAGTCGGAGAGAGTGATATATTTACAAAACGACCTCATGAATATTCACTAGACAGTCTGGCCAGTGACTGTGGAGATTAACTGGCCTGACTTGATTTTTACTAGCCATGGGCCAGTGGCTATTTCGCACACTGCATATATCTGATCTGATGACATTCCCACCCAAAAATTTGTAAGATATACAAGAAAATGTAACATATATGTCATGTACATTTTAGAGCCTAGGATGGGAGCTTATGAAGGTTACTAGCAGATTTGTGTAAATTTCGTTAGGGGCACTTTTTGAGTGGACAAACATGGCAAGTATTGATACTCCCATTGCTTTGCTGGATTGCTTGTGTGAACTGGTGGTTTGTGTGCCCCGTGTTTACAGGCTGCCATTGCAAACATGGAATATTGCTGGCTGTGGCTTAAAACATTCTCCAGTGGTGTTCTCACAGTAACAGGACATCATTTAAAAAACCCTAAAGCAACCTTGTCTTTTCTCACAATGAACTCATTTGCAAGGTCACTAACACTGCTTAATTCTTGTTATATAAAAAAACTAGTTGTTGTTGTTGAGCCACGTGTAAGTCCTCCTTCTGTTGCCAGGGACCGACTGTCGGCAAGCGACATGATCCAGGTGAGGAAGGTCATCGAGCACGTATATGAGAAGGTGCTGGGTCAAGGGTCAGATGCAGGGTCGCAGACGGCCAACAGTAATGGAGGTCAGGAGAAGGAAGGAGAGAAGGAGGAAGACTTGGCGTCTATTGCAGAGGAGAAGGTGGAACTTACCTGTAACGATCAGGTAAGATATAACAGGATGCTTAATCAGGATGATACATGTCAGAATGAGGCTGCTAAGGTTTATCCATAACATGAGTGGGAGTTTTGCAGGGCCCCATTCCTCAGAGCAATCGTAGCGCTAAGATGATTGTAACTCCCATACTTTAACATAGACTTACGACTGTCGTATCGCTATGATCGCTTTGAGGAATGGGGCCTTGGGTATAAAAGTACCATGTGTCTACAATGTTTGACAGGTTGATTGTGTTTGCCACACTAAAAGTGTGTTGTGTAATGCTTATTCCGTCAACCTCAGGTTAGATTGGTATTGACTCGTTACTTACAGATTGCCCATGCACGCTAAAGATATTATTACTAGTGAGGAACTTAAGAGGTAGAATAGGTCCCCTACCTATGCATGCTGGGCAGGTTGTCAGGATCGATGACTTTGTTGTGTGCATGTCATCATTTACTGCTGGCGTGGGACATTGAGTATTTATCAGTCACTGGATTGTCTGGTCCGGACTTTAATATTTACAGACTTTCATCATATATATGTATATATGGAATATTGCTGACTGCATTGTTAAGGTGTTAAACAAACAAATTATAACATGATAATATGGCTGACAATGGTGTCTTACAGGTGTTGGACCCAAATATGGACTTAAGAACAGTGAAGCACTTCATCTGGAAGCAGACAGGCGACCTCACACTACATTATCGTCCTCTCGCAAAGAAAGACTTCCAGTCCTTCTGCAAATATTCCTCTATGAATGCTGGAGAGAGTTAAGACTGCCACCACAAATCTCAAATATATGTGCATTCAGTCTGTAAATGGCAGTCAGTTTCCAGAGTCAGTTTACAGAATCAGGCTGTTGCCCTCGAGACAGTATGAACCAGCGACACTCTCTGTATGAACTTGCCATGTACAGGATGTTACCAATAGTCTTGGCTACTTGGGACATGAATAGGTCAGCCATCCACATTAGCTAGGTCATATATGCATATATACAAGTAAGCATTTAAGTCAAGGTGTTAATGTTCAAAGATTTACCAGTCACCTTTTGATAGGGAAAATCAGGCATGTCATTCTATATAAACATACACCTGACAATTTGAGAAACAACTTTGTGTATTATGGAAAGCTACAAATATCTGTATGAGAATGGGAGGTTTATACTGTGTATGCTGTACTACCTGACCCCATGCTTTCCCTATAGATAGTCTAATGTCAAAACAAAAATATTCTACTCCGAAGAATTTAAATTGAACACCAGTTTCTCTCATTACTACTTGTTACTATAGTTGTTCTGTCATGTCATGTTGACTATAGCAATATGAACAAAAATTGGGTGTTATTTAAATTCTTTGAGTAGTATGTTCAAATTGCATGACCAATTAGCTATGAGCAATTCCACTTTTCCTGGTCCCAAATGAATATATTTTGTATGTCCTGAGCCTTGGAATGTTCAATATTCATTCAGGAGGGACAGATAATCATATTATGTATGGCAGATAGAATATTCTGTATGCATATAGATGATGGACAAAATTTTCTGCTAAGAAAATGTCAAAACTGAGGTTTTCCCATTCGCAACTGGAGATCACAATAGCTCAGTCCATTGCTGGGAAGATGTCACATTAATTGACTGTGATGTATGATGTTGTCTTCAAATACTTGAGACACTGCCTTGGCAGGTTGAGACGTTTATTGTCTGTTTCACAGTGTGCATTGATTGCTACACCTTGGTTAATGTGGCCCAGGTTGCTCAGGTCCAGACTTGATTGCTACAGGTGAGCATGCAATATGGGGAAATATGTACTCAATCAGGCTAGTCACAAGATTCGTAATTACTTGAAAAGCTTGGGAGTCACAGGGTTTGAATTGATAGTTATTGATAATTGCATCCCTGTCTCAAACATCAGTCCTAATTGTTTTTATGAGCCATTTATTGCCATTTAATTCTTTCTGTTAACTGATTGCATGGTCAAATGATGGAGGCACATGTTGAAAGCACAGCGGACAGTTTAGGGCTGTGGACCCAAGAAAGCTGGAAAGGATCGTGTGTTTGATCTCATATGCCTGGTTCACATTTGCCCTGCGATGGGTCTATGGCGCCCGTAAACTACCCGTAGCTCCATTTCCTTGCGGTGGCAGGCGATGGCTGTACGATTATCGCATGATTCTACGGGCGCCTTAGCCTCTACGATTTTGTCAGACAGCGACATTTGACAAATTTGAAAAAGTCGTAAGCCTGTAGCCCGGTGATCATACGGTGATCGCAGGATCGTGCGATATCCATGGAAAATTGTAGACTACTTTATCGTATGGTGCCCGTGGGAAATGTGATCCCAGTCGTAATTATATACTTTGTAAATTTATGTAGGTGCAAATAATGGTATTTTGTACTACTTTTAATAATATAGAAATCTATATTTGGAAATCTATATTGGCCATAGCTTGTGGACATCAAATTTTCAGTTGTAATCAGATGTTGAGTTGTAACATAGGTTCATGGACATGACTGTTCATTCGGTGCAATGAACAGCAGCATCCTCACCAGAGACATAATCTCCATCATAATATTTATACTGATATCATTTGACGGTTAATACCTCGGCCATTATAGTTGTTACCGCCTGCTTGTATGTCTGAACCCTTAGTTGTGATATGTGGGATTGAATCTTATATCTACCCTGATATCATTGATTGTGGGGTTAAATCCAAGATCCACCCTGATATCAATGATTGTGGGGGGATATCCTAGATCCACCCTGTTACTCACAATTTGGGGGAGGGATCCTGGATCCACCCTGATATCCATAATTGTGGGATGGAATCCTTGGGCCACTATGATATCCATGATTGTGGGATGGAATCCTTGGGCCAACATCATATCTATGATTGTGGGCTGGAATCCTTGGGCCACCAACATATCCATGATTGTGGGATGGAATCCTTGGGCCACCATCATATCTATGATTGTGGGATGGAATCCTTGGGCCACCAACATATCCATGATTGTTGGATGGAATCCTTGGGCCACCATCACATCCATGATTGTTGGATTAAATCCTTGGGCCACCATCACATCCATAATTGTGGGCTGGAATCCTTGGGCCACCAACATATCTATGATAGTGGGTCGGAATCCTTGGGCCACCAACATATCTATGATTGTGGGGTGGAATCCTTGGGCCACCATCATATCCATAATTATAGGATGGAATCCTGTATCCACCCTGATACGCACGATTGTCCAAATTAACTTACGGTACCAACAGAAATGAACATTACATTAACTCAGCTTAATTGGGCCTGTTGTATTTCCACATACTATTGTACATGTCTTGTAAATTTGGTTCATGAGTGAAGCCTTAGTTGACCAGGGTGTTTTGGTTTGTCTGCACTGTCCTGCAGGTTTTCACCAAATCAATTGTATCAGTCTCAGACTTGCCATACTTCAGGCCGCCAGCTGGCAGGCTGGCATAGAACTAAATTTCTGTTCAACAGCATTAAACCAGTCACTGGCGTCATTCTATGAAGGTTCTGCAGAAGGGTTGAGAAACTTCAGTGCCAACTTTATGTATTCCTTTTGTTGGTTTACAAGGCTGATAGACCTATAAAAAACAACCTCAAATTTGAAAAAAATAATAAAACCACTTGATGTTTTGGGTAATCTGATGTATAAAATTTAAAAAAGAAGGCGTAAGATTTTATCACTGTGGTTCATAAGAAATGGAGAATAACACATGTAAAAATCCCTATTCAAACAATAACAATTGACTATCTTCAGATATCTTATCATGATTTTCATTTCTCATTAATAGCTGCACTGATCTGTATGTATTTTGTGTGCTTACATTCAATTTTAGAGTATTTGTTTTGTTAACCAACCTATAAGAAATACATGCAAGAATCTCCAGCGAGGGATGTAGCACATATGGTCTCACCTTAGGCAAGCGACTTTGTTCAAAATTGACTCTGTTCACCCAGCAGTGAATGGGTACCCGGTGGGATGGAATGGTCATATGACTGTTACCTCCTAGCGCTGCACTAGGTGTGTGGGTTGTAATGAACACTGATCCATTGACCGGGGTAATAATGCTAGTGTTTTGAACATATACCTTGTGTATGGATGTAAAGCAATGTAAGTACACCACACCTTATTATGGATTTGTATTTTCTGCCGTTTGACCATGAGGTGTGTTTGGATGGAAGTGTTTGTTGCCATGCTTGTTGTCAAATGAATATACTAGTGTTGTCATCAGCATGTACTCTATTACAACAATTCTAATTGTTGAGGTGTGAGTACAATTTGTTTTGAAGAGCTACTGTCTATTCCGTAATGTGGTTTGCCTGAATGAATGTCAAAACTATGCTCCGTTTTGTAAGTGGCCATTCTTTGTTGTTTGAGAGCCTCAGAACTGGATTAATGTGATATTTGAGAGTAAATATTTTGTAATGTGGAACTATCTGGCTAGGTCAAAATCTAAAAGTCTGGATATTATGGGGGAATGTTGCCCCAATTATACCGAGAGATGAAACCCAGTCCTACAGACCCACCGGAGTGATTTGCTAGAGCAGAGGTACAGAGGGTCACATGTTTATGTGGGGTCGGTTGGAAGCTGTAACATGAATCATGTTTTCTGTAAGGGAATATTATAGTTACTTGGAGGATCTTACAGAACAGGTGCTGTTTGCACTAGATTCACATCCTCGAACATCACTTTGTCTGCCGGCTCAAGTAATGTCTAGCAGTAACAGTTCATGAAGTCAAGACGATGTATAGGTATCAGACAGGGTACTGTTTGAGCCCATGATACATGTGAGTTGCCTCATGACACTGGCTCTGTGTTTTGTTGTTTCTGTAAGATGTCTTATTCTTAATACTGACCCTGCATTTACAATGTGGAAGATTTGATTTAGACAAAAAGAATGCAAAATTTGGATCATGATTTTGTCTCTTAAAGATCAAGTCGGTTGCCCACATGGTATAACTGGGTTAGTGCTTGTCCATCTGGATGATACAGACTACAGGGTCCTCAACATAGTACAGGGTGGTTATTCCGAGTCCCAGATTCTTGTTAGTTAGGAGGGGTGCTTTACTGGGTCAAACACAGCCGCTGGTCTGTTTGTCCAAGAGGAGTGAATCTGAGAGTAGTTGTTCCCACTCAGAATTTATTGTGGATTAGTTTATTTAATATATCCTAATCAAGAGAAGTCAGAGAAACTGTGATTCCGTCATAACTATAGTTCTACAATCTCTTCTGCCAAGGACGATAAAGCAATCCGCAAAAATCAGGTGCTCTTCAACGTCTTTTGGGTAGTACCAGTAGTATTATGTCCTACTCAGACTTATAAATGTGGGGGTCAATGGACAGTATGATCTATTGTAGGAATAAGTTATCTTGAAAGCTTAAACAATCTGCTGTCATGGGGATGTTTAAAAGATTTAGATGGCTACTCTTTACTTTGTTTTTCTCATGTATTTCACAGGTGTTGTGCACTAAAACTAATGTCTGCCATATTGTTTCTATGGTTATACAAGTTTTGTTACTGTGATATTAGAATCACATGAATCATCTAGCCAGATTTAAGCAGATTGTACAAAGTGTATATTGCCTATTTCACTGTAATATGTGTTATTTTATTTTTGTCTATTGTAATTTAACTGTGAAAGCTAGACACAATGTAAATAAAGCCTCAATTACATGATTTCTTTGTTATTGCTTGTGACATACCGGTATTAGTCATTCCCTGGTGTTTAATCATGAGCTTGGCATAATCTGGAATTGGCAGATCCTGCAGAGATGCCAACATCTGCGATTTTATTGTAGTCACTACGAATTTTAGCCTCAAACTACGCCAATACGATTGCACAAGAAAATTCATTAAAATTCAGATATATAAACAAAAACATATTTTTTCGTTGATTAAATACATTTTTGGACTTCACTTACCTTCTATTCATCAAATTTAATGACATTTCAACTGGAATCATTGCAAGTAACAAACATAATTTTAGCGGAATTGTCTATCAATAATCTAAAGCTGAGTTCAATACCTTTGCGAATTGACCCACTTATTGTGTGCCGGCGCAAAATGGCGATCCTATCAGAAAGATTTAACCATGTGACCGTTCCTTCCATTCGATTATATGAAACCGGTATGTGAAATTAAAGCTTCACTCTTGATTAGTGTGATATCCTTCTCAGAATCCATCATGATTTTAAGTATTTAGTTGACTGCTAATTTTATGGTCTAACTACTAATTTTGATCCTTGAAACTACTATTTGCAACACTTTGGGGTTGGCATCTCTGGATCCTGGCATGGCCAAGCGACATAAATTTGCATAAGGTCAACTTGGCAGATGTCTGTCTATGGAGCACCGGTCCTCTTGAAGCTGATCATTTGAATTACCAGGATGATAGGGTAGTTCTATAGTGGATGCTTTGTCCATCACACTGTAAGCTTAGGTTTGATTTCCCCGTGGGAAACCTATTACATTAATATTGTTAAAGCAGCATAAACCATCAGAAACTCAGAAACACTTCGGACAACCTTCAGAAACATCCAACATGTCCAAGGAACAAACTAAAGCAATATTCACTGAGATTTTATTTGAAAGCTTATGTAAAGCCTACAGTAAACTGTAACACTGTTATGGCATTAAACACCATATACAAAGATTAGAGCCCTCAGTGAGCCCCCCACCCCAGGGGACACTCCATGAAGCTGGATCATACAGGCCACTGAACAAACATGCTTCAAGTCCATCACACACAATACAGTGTATTCATCAGTCCAGATCTCATGCTAGATCAAACTAACAAAACAAAAATAGATGGCATTCCTTCTTTTCTGGTTTCACTTCCTGTCAATAACATTTCCAAACATGTCATTTTTGGCTCATTAGAAATTCCAAGACACTATAAAGTTATAAAAGATGTAAAACATCCATATGAAAGTTAACTACACTTAGCTTTAGTTGATTTTGCATGACATAATAAAGAAACAGAAGAAAATGGTTGGTTGTTCTTAATTTTGTAATAGACTAAGAGTCTGTCTTTACATATAGATCCTTGTGTTAATCTTGAAGACACAAGAAATATACATAAAATAAATGCAAATGTTGAGAAGAAAAAAGCTATTTTTGTTTCAAAACTGATGAATTTCAGGATAATTTCGGCCCTAGTTCTAATTGTTCATTTCTAGCAGCAGAAAGAAATCCTTACCACCCTGACTTGCTGTGATCATAATGTCTTCACCAGGACACAAAGCATGTTCCTCAGAGCCAATACATTGCAACATCCAACTTGGAGTTTCCAGGGGGATGCCTTCTTATTAAGGCATGCCCCTCACGGAGTAAACCCCTGTTGAAAGAGGATGGTAGTGTACTTATTATGCATTTCACGCATTGAGCCTCAGAACGGAACTGCCCACAACAGTTACCATGGTTACAGAGGGTAGACGGGTTGCAAGATGGCATCACAAACTCATCACTGATGGCTGGTTAGGTTGTACTATCAAAAACAAATACTGTAAAGAATTTGATTAAACAGTCATATCAAAGAGTGGCGTTAGATTTGTGAAATGGACATGTCATGCAGTGAAATTAACACCTGTAGATGGGTGATAGCTGATCAATATTGACTGGGAGCAGCTCGGTAATAATTGCACAAAAATTGAGATCTACTCCTCCATAGAGGCTGACAACATTTGTTAATGACAATATCTTGAGAAGTCTTTGTCATAACTGGACTAGCACAAGGTTTGTGGTAAAGCCAATTATTCATAGAAAAAATATACTGAAAACTGAACTTCAAAAACACCAAATACATGTACAATGAAAGCTAAAACTTGATACAATAACTGATATCCTAATAGGATGATGCAACATGAAGCTAGGGTCTAATTCTGGCCGAACCCTTATCATCACTATGGTCTAGTATCTGTTTTGGGTAAACCCTTATCACTATGGTCTACTATTGTTTCTGGGAAATCCCTTATCACTATGGTTTACTATTGCTTTGGGGGAAATCCCTTATCACTATGGTCTACTATTGTTTCTGGGAAATCCCTTATCACTATGGTCTACTATCGGTTCTGGGAAATCCCTTATCACTATGGTCTACTATCGGTTCTGGGAAATCCCTTATCACTATGGTCTATCGGTTCTGGGAAATCCCTTATCACTATGGTCTACTATTGTTTCTGGAAAATCCCTTATCACTATGGTCTACTATTGTTTGTGGGAAATCCCTTATCACTATGGTCTACTATTGTTTCTGGGAAATCCCTTATCACTATGGTCTACTATTGTTTGTGGGAAATCCCTTATCACTATGGTCTACTATTGCTTTGGGGAAATCCCTTATCACTATGGTCTACTATTGTTTCTGGGAAATCCCTTATCACTATGGTCCACTATCGGTTCTGGGAAATCCCGTATCACTATGGTCTATCGGTTCTGGGAAATCCCTTATCACTATGGTCTACTATTGGTTCTGGGAAATCCCTTATCACTATGGTCTACTATTGTTTCTGGGAAATCCCTTATCACTATGGTCTAGTATCTGTTTTGGGAATTCCCTTATCACTATGGTCTCACATTGTTTTTGGTCAAACCCTTACCACTATGGTCTATTATCGATTATGGCCAAACTGTTATCTACACTATGGGTTTTTTATAAAAAATCAGAACACGGGTGACTGCAAACCCGTGGAAAAGAACACTAATCCTTAGAGTATTGGTTTTGGTAGAAGCCTTATCAATGCTACAGCATAATATAAGTTGTGGCAGAACAACTTTCGTCTATCAGCACTGGTCAATAACTAGATATCTGATGCTCCACATGACATCACATTAACTAGGTACCACTGTCCAAGAGAAATATTGCACTGATCTATCTCTTTCCAACTGCAAATACCTGTAAATGAGGTGAAGTAATGGTATATTAGTTTTCAAAAAGCAAGTAGTTTAAAACATCCCCTATATTTCTCTGTGTGACTGTTACAAACAACTTAAAGAAATTACCTTTAAGATCACTTCAAATTACACGCAAAGCAGAATGACAAATATATTCTTACCAATCATACAAAACAAGAGGTATGTTAAGGCCTTATAATAATGATAATTGAATTCTTTGGTTTATGAGACTGACCAAATAGGAAATATTACAAGTAGAAATTTATTAAATGTCATTTGAAAACTTTATTTGTTGGTCTCTTAACAAATAAGTGACATTAAATACCACACAATAACTTGTCACTAATGTTCATAAGAAATGGGGAATGGATAAAAATCTTTACTCCAACAAAGACAAAAACCCAGTTATGTTTTGATATTGTTTCCCAATCACACTTTCATGATAATGACGTACATTTTGTTTTTCATTCAATAGTACCAGTAATAATCAGTCCAAGGCCAAAAACCCATTGTAAACAACTAATAAAAATAAAAGGCTTACTTTTTCATCCTGGATAAGTTCTTTGGACCACTGGTACACATATATGTAACTGATTCTGCCATTCTTATTAATTACATGTGCTACTTAAACCTGTAGCAGTGTATAAAGCTTTGAGAATTAAGCAGAAACAAATCTACATGTACTAAACATGACTTTGTATAAGAGAAATATATTACCGAAAAAAGCAAAGAGATTCAAAACAAATAAAACATTTACAAATAATTTTCATGCCAGCAAAAAGCACTAACATGATAATCCACAAAAAGGCAAAACGGCAGTAACTACAATAGCATTGTGATGTACAACAAGAACAACAGCCATGATGACAGTAGGTATATACACAGCCTACAGCTCTGCTTGTGACTTTGATACGGTATATACAAATGGTGGGACTTTATATATATATAAACAACAAGTATATAATAACTAATGTAAACAACATACAAGCAGACCAATAAATGACCTAAAGTAGAAATCCTGGTAATGTTGGTACTTACAAAAGAAGGAACCTATTAATTTCTACTGCAACCAATCTGAATTGGAGGAAGCACTCTCGCAGCCTTTACATCATCATCCAGTGTGTTTTATCTCAGTTCCATGATGACCCTGGAAGTGACCTCACCATCTCTTATCAGCACACTTTCCATGGTGAGAGATTGAGTTTTGTACTATACTGCTTTTTGCAACATTTCACAGCTGGGGAAACCGAAAATGCTTCACATATTGTACGATGTGAGGAACTCAGTGTGACGGGTAAATGTCTTATCCATCAGGCTACCCCACTTCCCCAACTTGCCAAAGAATGTAGAATCAATATAGAATGACTGAACTGCTATCTATAATACTGTACCAACCAAACCCAATGAAACACTAATCTGTGAACTGTCAAGGGTACTAATCAACAGAATGGAGATATAATACACTGGATTATAACATAAAGTTCATGATCTTGAACCTTGTGCAGGGATTGGGATAGAGAATTTTGACAATGGGCCATTTTCAGAATTATTAGCCATTTTCTGAATTTAGAATGGGCCACTGCCCTTGTATCAATAGTAAACTTCAAAATTTTAATGGGCCATTTTTTATTCTAATGTACAAATTGGCTCATGGCCCCTGCCTTCCCAATCCCTGCTTGTGATGGCTATCAGATAAGACATATTACTGGTAAGTGATGCAGATGACAAGCACCTGTTCATGACTAAGTGTTATCAACCACAAAGTGTTCCACTATCTCCAAAGTACAAAGATGTGGATGTAAAGGTCTCACTTTTTTCATAATGTTAAACATTTTTTTCAGTATAATCTTAAGGAACTTCCATTGAAATCTCATTCCGTGAGTATTGCCTCCCTGTATTGTTAAGGTACTGCAGAGTCGCTCTGTCTAAGTCTCCTCCTCACAATATTACAGGGGAATAAAGGAACTGGTAAAGTCCAGATCTATATTTCATCAATTAGCAACTAGAAGGAAGACATTTCTAACCTATTACATTTACAAAATAATACAAATACAAGCATATACGTGCTAATGTGAAAATATTTTTTTTAGGTTTGCATGAAAATCCATGACTATGTCAAACAAACTTATCAGAATATTTTCACCAGTGAATAGCATTACACTGTATGTAGTATGGCAACATCTAGGTTTTGAAATAAGTGTACAATAGCAAGTGGATTTCCAGCTGTGAAAGAATATGTATTCATTAATTATACAAAACAGTGTGGATGCCAAAACATGGCTCAGATCCCAGAAGTTGTTCACAACCCTTACCTCTACAAACAAATGTTGACAGAAGACAACACACATGCTTTTCAACGTAAATATCATGACACACTTCCTTCTCAAGGGTTGGCACAGTCCATGGCACAAGGAAACAGTGTTCAAACAGGGTTTACACATTATTCAAGACAAACACTCAATGGAAAATGTTCTGGTAGTTCTTTTTTGAACATGTAGTTTGTGTAATGCTTATTCAGCAATATTTCAGCAAAATGTCAGTAGACCTTAAAACACAATAAACGGAAAAATGATAATTCCACAGTTAGTGTTTACTGATGCACTACTGGAGGTCTGTGAAGGTTAGTGGGAATAGTTTCATAGATGTAACAGTAAAGTTTCCAAGGCAAACTCCACATACACAGTAACATCAGTACCTTATGACGAAAAATGAAATACTGTAAAAATAATAAAAATGTGTTAACTAATACTGAAAAATAATTCAGGACCATTAAAGCATACAAGTTAATGAAAAGACAAAATGGGAATAAACATTGAATAATCTGACTGAATATAATGGCAGACACTGCCAGGTGTTACCATGCACACAATCTGGCAATGCCACTGAAATCACAAAGTTCTAATACTGTTCAGATATCAGTGAAGCAAATCTCTCTCATAACTAATTGCACTGTAACAAACATAATAAACTTTCAATTTTTAAACAACATAACATCATAATGTCCCAAAGTCACAACCCTGACATATGTAATTCCTTTGTTACAGTGAGAATGAGATGTTCAGACTATTTGACAACACGTGATTACATGGCTACATGGATGAATACAGACTTGGAGGTTACACAGGGCATGCAAACATCAGCAACACCAACTATTCACCCATTCAGACATGGGCAGGGTGTTATTCAGTGTCGAAATTAAAATAAAAATTCATATGCTAAACAGTTGAACCTCTTCATAAAATCTAATATTGTTGTCACAGTTGTAGGTAGGCAAAACCCTCCAAATCTGTCAGGTTGAGTCCAACAGGCCATCTCACAGAAAAAAACCTGGTCATCCAGCAGCGAATGGATACCCGTAACGATGAGTTGTAATTTCCTGTGCCTTGTAATTCAGCATGGCTATATACTTCCCAGGGAGCTCAGAATGAAAATTGAGCATGCATTGATCTATTGGCTTGGGTAATAATTGTTTCACAATTGCATCGCACAGGAGTATGGAGTTTGGTGCAATGTAAGGAGAATTATTGGCCTAACACATCAATGCTTTATACAGTTTTACGTGTATAAATTCCAACAGGACCCAGTAGAACCACCTCCATGGTTCACGAGCATCTACCCAGAGGGTTGAAGGCCCGTGGTTTGACATGTCAACAAAAAGATTTTAAAAAGAGGTACTTGTTACCCAGTCCGGCCCTGTTTGTAAAGTGGCTTAAACAAAGAATGGTCGGCTCAAAGTCAGTATACTGTGTCTGGGAGGTGTACTCATGTTAAACTGCAATATCGTATCTCATACAAACACACACACATTGCTTCATAAATGCACTATTCTTCAATGCAACATTAAACTCCAGATTCGGGCCCTGTAAACTGGCAACTGATGAAATAGTGGTCTGTCAAGGTTTGCCACAATCAACAAATGAACAACCTTAAAGGTGTCAACATTCATACTCTCGTGTGACTGGCCTGAGTGTCGACTAGAACACCACTGAGTATTATTTAAAGTCATTACTGTGACCAATGAAGCATTAAAACTAACTTGCACATCCTGATGCTTCAGAACACACCAAATAGTCTTGTCTTGTTTGAAGAAACTTCCTACATCCTTTTCTAGGATTTAAACATTGAAACAGAAACTAAAATTATGAATAAACGTATCACTGACTAAATTATTTCACTGAGAAATTGTACGTAGCTGTTGGTTTTACAATGTTGTTTGTACAGTGTGTATCAAGCCCATGGGATTAAAATATTTTCACACAGACAAATTCATCTCAGCAGATATTTGTTTCAGAATCAAGAAACATTCAAGCAGATTTTATACCAGCATGACTTTGTGATAGACAGTATGTGAGTGATATCAAGAAGATCAGAATGATCAGAATGATTACAGGTGGATGTTGGATGATAATCTCAACAAAACAAAACTGCTATCACATTTTGGGCAGATAGACTTCACAGACAATTTTGATTTGTCATCAGTTAAATAACAAACGTGCTAATCAAGTCTCTACATCTCAGGTGATTATTGTGTTGTTGTGACACTTGGTAGAGAAGAGAGTGCTCAGTTCTAGTCATATAGTCACTAACAGCACAATTAAGAAAACAGAAAGTTTTAACGTCAATCTTTTGACAAACAAAACAATACCAACCAACAATAAAAACAAGGACTCAGAACATGGCAACCGGTCTACAATGATCACACAGCTTCAATCTATGAGGAAGAACTCTTCGTCCAAGTATGTTCCCTGTCTTTTTTCTTGCAGGCACTGGCCTTTGCTGGAGAAGTGATCCAAGGGAAATGTCTCGGACCTATTTCTGAAACATACAATGGCAATTATCAGACACTGTCACCATAGTTTGTGAGAGGGAGTGAGTTTAGTTTTATGTCGCTTTTAGCAATATTCCAGCAATATCATGGCAGGGGACACCAGCAATCACACATTGTACCCATTTGGGGAATCGAGGCCAGGTATTTGGTGTAACGAGCGTACACTTTAACCACTAGGCTATCCCATCGACCCCAAATTTTGTACGAAAAAGGAACTCAAATCATAAGAAATGATATCATATTACATCAGTTCTCATAAAATACAATAATATAGTCCACAGATTGACTCAACTTCCATGATGTTTCCATGAAACCAAGTTAAATTATTATGGCATTGAAGATTTACAACATTTATTTTCTCGAACCAAGCTTGATACGGAGGGTTTGCTTATCTGTTAAGATTAGTTAGGCTTTATACTAAGTAAGCAAGTATGCAATTATTTCCAACATTTTTGGCGAGGTATGGACACAGCAGTTTGATCCACTGGAATTGTTCTTTATCTTGCTTTGAGCAGTATGTAGGTAAGCCTTCATGATAACCTACTTGAGCTGTGAGCTGTTGGGCCAGTATATATGTTGATCTCCGAAGCTGAAATTCTCGTCACCTATGAGCTCTTTGGCCCATGACTGGTTGTTGTAGGGGGGCTGGGTCCCTCCCAACTCCGCAGGCAAGATGTCTTTGTTGATGTGCTGGTGGAGGGTTGTCAGGTTGATACCATGCATCTGGATCTACCAACAAAGTAATGCATATAACATTTTATGTTCTTCCAGATGCTAGCAATCATGACATAATTCCAGCAGGAAGTTACACGAAAGTTGTGAGTGACTTGTTCATTTTTAAAAGTGGCATATTATTATCTGGAAATATGTTCTTCATATGTTAAATAACAAACATCCCAATAACCAGTGATATATGTTACATAACAAACCTCCCAGTAACCAGGGAGATATGTCACATAACAAACATCCCAATACCCAGTGAGATATGTTACATAACAAACATCCCAATAACCAGTGAGAGATGTTACATAATAAACATCCCAATAACCAGTGAGAGATGTCACATAACAAACATCCCAATACCCAGTGAGATATGTCACATAACAAACCTCCCAATAACCAGTGAGAGATGTTACATAACAAACATCCCAATAACCAGTGAGATATGTCACATAATAAACATCCCAATAACCAGTGAGAGATGTCACATAACAAACATCCCAATACCCAGTGAGATATGTCACATAACAAACATCCCAATACCCAGTGAGAGATGTCACATAACAAACATCCCAATAACCAGTGAGATATGTTACATAACAAACATCCCAATAACCAGTGAGATATGTCACATAACAAACATCCCAATACCCAGTGAGAGATGTCACATAACAAACCTCCCAATAACCAGTGAGAGATGTCACATAACAAACCTCCCAATAACCAGTGAGATATGTCACATAATAAACCTCCCAATACCCAGTGAGATATGTCACATAACAAACATCCCAATAACCAGTGAGATATGTTAAATAACAAACCTCCCAATAACCAGTGAGAGATGTCACATAAATAAAACATCCCAATAACCAGTGAGATATGTCACATAATAAACCTCCCAATAACCAGTGAGATATGTCACATAATAAACATCCCAATAACCAGTGAGATATGTTACATAACAAACATCCCAATAACCAGTGAGATATGTTAAATAACAAACATCCCAATAACCAGTGAGATATGTCACATAACAAACATCCCAATAACCAGTGAGAGATGTCACATAACAAACATCCCAATAACCAGTGAGAGATGTTACATAACAAACCTCCCAATAACCAGTGAGATATGTCACATAACAAACATCCCAATAACCAGTGAGAGATGTCACATAACAAACCTCCCAATAACCAGTGAGAGATGTTACATAACAAACATCCCAATAACCAGTGAGATATGTCACATAACAAACCTCCCAATAACCAGTGAGATATGTCACATAATAAACATCCCAATAACCAGTGAGATATACAAACATTAACCAGTAACAAACATCCCAATAACCAGTGAGATCTGTTACATAACAAACATCCCAATAACCAGTGAGATATGTTACATAACAAACATCCCAATAACCAGTGAGAGATATGTCACATAACAAACCTCCCAATAACCAGTGAGATATGTTGAATAACAAACATCCCAACAACCAGTGAGATATGTCACATAACAAACATCCCAATAACCAGTGAGATATGTTACATAACAAACATCCCAATAACCAGTGAGATATGTCACATAACAAACCTCCCAATAACCAGTGAGAGATGTTACATAACAAACCTCCCAATAACCAGTGAGATATGTTGAATAACAAACATCCCAATACCCAGTGAGATATGTCACATAACAAACCTCCCAATAACCAGTGAGAGATGTTACATAACAAACCTCCCAATAACCAGTGAGATATGTTGAATAACAAACCTCCCAATAACCAGTGAGAGATGTCACATAACAAACCTCCCAATAACCAGTGAGAGATGTCACATAACAAACCTCCCAATAACCAGTGAGATATGTCACATAATAAACCTCCCAATACCCAGTGAGATATGTCACATAACAAACATCCCAATACCCAGTGAGATATGTCACATAACAAACCTCCCAATAACCAGTGAGATATGTCACATAACAAACCTCCCAATAACCAGTGAGATATGTCACATAATAAACCTCCCAATAACCAGTGAGATATGTCACATAACAAACATCCCAATAACCAGTGAGAAATGTCACATAACAAACCTCCCAATAACCAGTGAGATATGTCACATAACAAACATCCCAATACAGGAAATCCCAAAGTGATAGGAAAGGTGCTGATGAACATAGACACATAATGGGGACCCAAAAACACGGGCTCAAACCCGGATTTGAACCCATGATCTTAGTTTTCTGGTATGTCCAAGGGATGCAACACAGCTATAGTCCGTTTGACTTCATTTTGGACCGTCACTCGTAAGAAATAGCGAAACGTAACAACAAAATAATGATCGTTTGTTAAACAACTTTTTTATTCGGGTGTCCAAAATTATGAGACAAATCATCAGAGTTGGTCTATCGATTTCATGTGACTGTGCAAAATTTGGTTTTGTTGCAGTTATTAGATTTTGTGTTAGTGAGCAATTTATCAGTCCAAAATGAAGTCAAACGGACTATAGCTGTGGCACCAGACAGAATGTCGGGTTATGAGATCACTGGAGATAGGAACAGCTCTGTGGTATTCCGCAGTTACACGATACGAAATTACTGCTTCTTTTATTCAACTTATGATTACTGTAAACGTACTTATTTTCGCGTGGTGCAATTTTCGCGGAATTGACAGTTTAGACTACATCGCACGGTCAATTATTCGCGCAATCAGTAATTGCCGGAACTGCCAGCCGTCTCTTTGGCCGCCACTAATAGCAGTGAAAACAAACAGAGTGGCCGAACCTGTCAGGCGGCATTTATTACTTACTCACAGGAAATCCCTATCTGTGCGATATACTAGTAAACAGTAACCCGTTTACTCCCAGAAGAGATGAAAAACACATCAGTATTATGTTCCGAATTCTGACGATCTGACTAATTAACTTATACTGTATAAGAAGCTCTTTGTGATTTCAAACAAGCCGGGTTGTTGTGAATTAGATGATTGATTGTTAGTGACTATTCGCTTCATGATGATACGTTTGTATCTAAATGAATAAATAAAATACTGCTGTTTTATTTCTTTCCGAGTCGTTTTAGTGGTAATCTGTTTTGTATCAAACCATCTGTCATGTGACCAATTTCCATGGCTGGCCACAACACACATTGCTGTTTTCGCTAATTACGGCGATGGGATTTGGCTCATTATTTAATTATGTTTTGGGAAATCCATTACAGCGACAGTTAAGTTTGATTCTTTATGCTACTATCAGTCGTCATTTTAAGATTCCCGTAGATTTCTGTCTTCAAACTTGATGTGTTATGGTAACAACTCAGGGGGCGAGCGTGGCTAGACTGAATGAATGACAGGTTTATTCGCGGTGTATAAATTTTCTCGCTAAAATGTTTTGCGCGAAAAGCGCGAAAATAAAACCTGCGCGAAATATACTACGTTTACAGTACCTTATTTCTATTCTTCTCCTTAAGGAACGGACGTAACATTTTGAAAATTGCTTCGATGTACCATGGCTGGTTCACAAAATGTATGGCAGCAAATCTGGCCGGGAAACAATCCTGAAACATAAACAATGGCTAACTTAGTGTTCATAACACACTACATGGTGTGCAGACAAGACAGCTATCACCAGGATCTCAATGCAGTAGAATGATCAACAGAGTAGGCATGAATCAACCATCTGTATGATATGAAAAGACAACACTGAACAGAATGCATGGGACGACTGAAACTACAAGTTATGTTGACAATAGTATCACTAGTGAGAACCAAATGCCATGAGTAAATAGTTGAAAATACAGCACACCATCTTCACATTAGGTCAAAGTGCAGACTTCATATCAACTTTGGATACAGATACAGAGATATTTCATACTGATATTTTAACATGACTAATAAATGTTTATTTTGTCCCTCAAATCTTTTTGTCAGTGGACAAAATAGAAACAGATAGGAAAGAAACTGAAGTATCTTTTTGTTGATGTGAAAATGGTAAATAGAAAAAGGCTTGAATACATTTTCACCCATAGCCATGGTCTAAGGATTACTAATAATAAATAAAACAAAAACACCTTAAGTAGCAAAAGAGATGACATTAAATCAGTATACTTACTTGTAAACCTTCTATCATCAGTTTCAAAATTTTAGGATTTAACCAAGTTGACTGTTTGAAAGTAAACTGACTCCAGTCCACAACCACAACAAAACCATTTATCTGAACTTCATCTCTGTCTACCAGCTTCTCTAATGTCAAGAGAATAGCTCGATATATTGCAGCAAGCCCATAACGGGAATTGTCCCAGTTCGCAGAATAAAGCACCAAGATTCTTCTTCCGAATACATCCGGTTCGGGCAAGACTCCAGGCAAGCCATCATACAAGGCTTCTTTGACACCAGGTTCAGAGGCCTGGAATCTCTTGAATAGGTTGGGGTTGTTTTGCCGATACTCAAAATATCGCGCATATAGTTTGAAGGTTTCAAGTGTGTTGAATTTTCTGGCTCTGAGAAACCTGATGATAAACCCCTCATCTTCTCTTAAAAATTCTGGAAACGTGACACAAAACAACATAATCAATTGCATGCATTGCCCTTTGACATAAAACAATGTAGAAAGGAAAACAGGTTTGAATCTATATAGAAACAGGGCTTGAGTGACAGCAAACATCAACAAATCCTTAATTTACATCAGGATACAAAAACAATGGACTCTATCCAAGATGCTTCTCATATTACTGTTGGAAAAATGATGATACAAAAATCATCAAAGACGTCCCAATTACTTTTGTTGATGCAGACTTCATTGAAAGAACTGATCAATACTTACATAAAGTAGAATTACATATGAAATTAAAATTGAAAGTGAGGGGTCCATGACAAAAGTTTATGTGAAAATACAAAGATTTAGTTTGTTTAAGGACCAAAACATAAAAATACTGTGTCAGGGATTGAAATAGTGCTTAATTTGTGTGGCGTGGCATGGCATGGGAAATAGTGGAATGGAATGGACAAAATATTTTGAATGTGCCCTGGCGTCATGACAAAAATTCTTTAAAAAAAAATTACCATAATTATTTCATGGAAACTGAGATAAATTTTGACCAACTCAAATGATTCAAAACCTATTTTGCAACCCATCAAACTGTTTACCAATGGTACTCTCAGTCTCACAGCATAACATGGGCATGGCCATTTGAATACCAATGCACATAACAGGAAATCCTGATTGGGATGATAACATAGTTTATAGGTTAGTTTGTGGTTTAGTTTATGGATCCGGGACAGATAAAGTTGAACTATTCTTGCAGTCATGATAGTGTTCAGGAAATCCAGTTCTAAATTTACAGATGTACATGATGTTTAAACAATAAATTGAAAAGGCATTAATTGTTGTGATGTTTTAGGTTGGATAATCAAAAGGTATGGGCACACTTTTTACACAAAGGCAAACCTACATCATATCTGGTGCCCAATGACACCCATAAAAAAAATGCCTTTCTATCCCCGTATGTCCGTTTTACACTATTCAGGTCTTTAACTTTTAAGACCACCTCCATGGTGTAGTGGTTAGAGCGTCTGCCCGGAGAGCGGAAGGTCACGGTTGAATCCCTGGCCGCATCATACCAAAAGACGTTTCAAATATGGTACTTGTTGGTCCCTGTCTCGCGCTCGGCATTAATGGGTACAAAAGGACTGGTCAGCTCAGAGTCAGTATAATGTGTCTGAGTGGGGTATTCATGCTTAACTGTGGCATGGTATCTCAGTTAGCTAGCACTATAAAACCAGCTTAAGTCTGGGCTAGTACAAGCAGCCACACATACACATACACATACACATGCATGCACGTCGTCATATGAGCGAAATATTCTTGAGTGAGACATTAAACCCCATTTCACCTCACCTCACCTTTACTTTTAAAGATACAAAGCTAAAACAACTTAAGTCAAGCATGATTATCAAATACCAAGATTTGAATGTTTGGGCACTAACTGACACACTATCCCAACTTTCTCCCTACCGAAACACGTACTGATATCAGGCCTGGTTATGATCTGTTCCTGCACTGCCGACACACTCTCTTGCCGTTGTTCAGGGACTTCACGGAGCTCATGGCGGGCTTTTCGGATCAGCTCTTCTGGTAGCCCCCATCCATACTCCGCCATATCACGATCCACGATTTAGGAAGAACAGTGTCACCAAACCTGAGAAAAGTGAGTACATACATAGCATTGCATAATAAAACCTCAATCCATACGTCAAAATAGCCTTACCAACCAGACCACCTACTCATCCCTTAATAGTCTTATTTGATTTACTGAAGAAATCCTTCACTAAATACACTCAAAATATTGCAAACACACAACCAAAGTGACAAGTTCCTCAAAACTTAAAGAATCAAGGCAGTCACTAATTAATTGTCTGTCTGTGCAGATGGGACAGCTATTTGTGAACACTGGCTTTTCAGTGAGTGAGTTGGTTTTACGCCGCACTCAGCAATATTCCAGCTATATGGCGGCGGTCTGTAAATAATCAAGTCTGGACCAGACATTCCAGTGATCAACAGCATGAGCATCGATCTACGCAATTGGGATGCAATGACATGTGTCAACAAAGTCAGCGAGCCTGACCACATGATCACGTTAGTCACCTCTTACAATAAGCATGAGTTACTGAGGATCAATTCTAACCCGGATCATCACAGGTCCACTGGCTTTTCAACCTGCTTCCACTACTGTTTCCTGCATACAAAAACAGAGCTTGTGCCTTGTTCAAGACATTTAGCTGTTACAAATACTGAACAATCTGGAGTACACACACTTGCATAACAGTGCCTATTATTTATTGTTTTGCTATGTATTCGACCCACTGTATCGCCTCATATGATGGTAAACCTAATCTGAAGTGTTTCCATCAAACCTACTAATTATTCATTCATCTTGTTTACATAGTTACTGAATTCACAATTAGTTCGGTACATACAGATTCCTAAGTTAACCTTCACATTTCATCTCAGGGAATACACTCTTAACAGAGGTAGACTGTCTATGGACAATGTAACAATGGGGTTTCAGGGGCGGATACAGCTTTTTAGAAAGGGGGGTTGCACAGTTGATTTTCACCCGTTTTCATGAGAGTTTCAATGGTCATTTGATAAACTTTCAGGACAAAAGAAGGGTGCCCATCCTCGCAACCCCCCACCCACTGGATATGCCTATGGGGTTTGAGACTTGGTGTCGCGTGATTTTATTCTTCGGACAATTGCCGAATGGATCCGATGCCATTTGGCACACTCGTCCCATTCCGTGAATCTACAAATTAACGTGTGGCGTGGAATGAGCCGATATGCCTCAAACTGAAAAAGGGTTGTTGACGCCGAAGCGTCAGGCGTAGATTTCACGGTGCATGCATGAATGACGCTTTTATATAAATCGGTGATTTTGTGACAGAAAAGTGATGTAGGGAACACTGTAAGGATAATGTGGATCGCACTAAGAAATGAGGGAGACATGAGCATGTGTAGTGATCGCACGAGGGTGAGTTAGCCTCAATCATTACTGAACAAAATTTATGTTGCGTGTGAAAGAGGCTTGAGTGAAAATTCCAGGCCAATTTCCATTAGCCTAAAATTTCTACATTAACCCATTTCATAATGTACTTTCGACGTTTTTGGTTTCCCGTTTTTGTGTGAAAAAAAGTATTAAAATGCAAAAAAGAAAAACAACAAATGGTACTCACGTATTACACCGGACATGTACCTGCTATATTGGATTAAGTCCCTAACCCTAACCCCTAAACCTAACCCTAACCCCCTGAAATAATCCTAATAAATAGAATGAATTGACCGAACCACCAGACATGTACCTACTATATTGCATTAGGTCCCCAACCCCAACCCTAACCCTAACCCTAACCCTAAGCCCTAGCCCTAGCCCTAACCCTAACCCTAAGCCCTAAGCCCTAGCCCTAACCCCAATCCCTTGAATTCATCCTAATAAATAGAATGCATTGACCGAACCGGCACAAACACGACTGACTAGTGTAATGCATTATTACCGCTTCGAAAAATAAAATACTAATAAAACACTTTTCTATGTAATGGTGCAAATTACTGAATGACAAAAATATATATGTAAATTAAAAAATTACAAAATACAAAATACACAAAACATAACACCTCAGCAGCCCGTAATACAAATAAATATGAGCGTATTAGTGAAAAAAGCGTTGGGCTTATGCAATGACATAGCTCGTAGAGATGAAACACCAGTGAGCGGAGCTTATACGCACTCGCTGAGCCAGACAACCGTGTTGCCATGCAGGCGTCATAGGGCATTGTATCGAGAACGTGCTTTCGAACAAAATCACATTACATTACGTAAAAGGGTATTATGACGTATTTTTAAAGTTTGTGGTGCTGTATTCTAAAGGTAGGCCGGGGTTTGTATCAGCGTAAAACAGTAACAGGGAAATCTGGATGGAAAGTAGGATACAGTAGCATCATATGATCACTGAACAGGAAGAATATCGCAAATATTGAAGATCCTAAATTGTTTTAATTTTGGAATTCAGACTCAACTACTTACTTTGTAGCAATATTGCCTGTTTTGTGATAAAGAAACAACAAAAGAGTGAGTGAGCTTTTAGTTTTACGCAGCTTCTAGCAATATTCCAGCAATATCACGGTTGGGACACCTGAAATGGACCCTGTGGGGAATCGAACCGGGTCTTCAGCATGACGAGTGAATGTTTTAACAACTAGGTTACCCCACTGCTTCAAACAAAACAGAATTAGTGAATTAAAAACATTCCTTTCCAACACCTTGCATATTACTACCTTGATAACTGTGCTATTTCTTTACCCCTACGTGTCGATGGCACGAGTCTGGTCATAAATTCCATATGTAAGCTAGTAAAAACTATTTAGATACACATAATAACTCGATCTTATAATGCATACGCTTACGCTGATTGGTCTTTTCTGAAAAGTCCAAAAGTGAGAAAGAATGCGTGCAGTGTCAGAAGAAACGTGAACATTAGCGACTTGTAGCGTAACCATGGAATTTTACAGTTAATGTCAGTAACTAATAAACCACGTGCCTAACCACAGGTCCGGTTAGTGCTGTGGGGCCCCTCAGGTCCTCCTCAGCACCCACCCTCCCGAGTTACCCGTCCCTGCCCGGTCTTGTAGACTGAAATTGTAATGTGACAGTTCCCATGCTCGCGTTGATTCCAGTCGCTGCGGTTAAATACACTGTGTTATGAACGCACCGCTCGTAACGCTGTTCTGATTTTATTATTCAGAAGTGATAACAATTACATAATATAGAGTTTAAAAGGCTATATCAAACCTGCAGGTGTTGGGTTGTGCCAGTATGACCGAGTGCGTCGGCTTCACTGCGGCAAGATATTCATGCAGCCGACATATAATGGTGGGAGCTGTTATTGCACCGGAAGTGTCATAATTAAATTCTAAAATTTATTATTTACTCACCTTCCGTCCTCTAAAAGTGTTTCTAGTATTTTGTTTACGTTGCATATTTATGTTTCCCTTGTATAGATAGTCACGTTTTGATATTCATAAATACAACTTTACTAAACGTAACATTGTTGAAGAAATTTGGGCACAATTATACCTCCCCCCATTCACACGCTTTCTATGAGAAAGATTGTTGAAATGAAAAGCAAAGCGACGTTTCCAAAGACTTTCAGAGGAGAAGAAAATCCATTTATAAAGGAACGTTATTTGTAACAATACACGAGTAATTCATAGAAGTGAATTCATGAAAGTAATTTGCCCATCAGGATTTAAGGATCAAGTATCGATATTTACCAACAGTTAACTGAAAGGTGATGCTGAAGTGCTGAAAGTGTGGAGCAGCCATAGCTTACCACCAGAAGAACAAAAATCAAAGCGTTTATTTATTTCGGCATATAAGGTTACAAGGTCATTATAAACGCGGTGTGGATAATATTGTTTCTCAGGATCAATTAAGGTGACATATTAATTATTTTTTTAAATCTTAATTCTTTTCCATTCACAGTTGACCAGGCGTGTACTCACAGCATGCGGTTTTTCTTATTCATTCAGTTAATGCAGTGTTTGTACACAAACCTATTTTGGTGGACCATGTGTCCTACACGGCGCGCCTTGTTCAATAACGAGGGTGCATGTTTCCATAGACTGCAGGGCTAATGAAAGTAGAATCTAGCCACGTTTTATGGTAGCTAAAAAAGGAAACTAACAAAAATATGTGTTTTTCATGGTGATGTGTGTGATATGGGTATCACTGTTGTTATGGCACCTGTAGTCTGTATTGTTTAGGAGACAGCTTTTAGCCCAGCAGAAACTACATCATGATCATTGCGTTGTTATGATCCAGTATCTTTAATAATGTTTTCAATTCAGTTTTCAAGTGTATACTTTCTGTTACCCGACAGTTCATTTGTCAACAGCTACGCATTCCTGTGGTTCAAGGAAGGCGCTTAAACGTTTACGTAAGAGGCGACTAACGGGTTCGGGTGGTCAGGTTCGCTGGCTTGGTTGACACATGTCATCGGTTCCCAATTGTGTAGATCGATGCTCATGCTGTTGAAGACTGGATTGTCTGGTCCAGACTCGATTATTTACAGACTGCCGCCATATAGCTGGACTATTGCTGAGTGCGGCGTAAAACCAACTCACTCACTCACTTAAATGTTTAAGGTTTGATGTAAAGTCCCTCCAAAGATATATGTGCACGTCAATAAAGATGCTATAGCTAGCACTATCAAACTATCATAAGTTCAAGCGCACGCAAAACATATACCGGTACGCATGGACACACGTGGATGCACATCGCTACCTTGAACTTTAATTCAATTGAATTCTTATTTCGTTAGTGTATAGGACATACAGGTGCCCACATGTCAAGGAAAAGTGTTATAATTCGATCAAATGTTGACATTCAAGTTAGTGTTTTACAGATTGACATTGCATGGTAAATATACATTGCTAGATTCTTAAAATAGGGTACAATCATTGACTAGCATGAGGGTATTAAACTCAGATTTAGAAGGATGTAAGTAATATTTTGTGGGTACAGAATTTTCACTGAACTGGCTACAAGAGGGGCGTGCTAATTAAGAGAAGGTATAGTAGTGGCTTTCCACATATACTTTGTGGCATACACAACACAGTGTTTTATTTCTTTCAGTATTAATATACCTTCCAGTCTCAATAATTAACTCATGTGAGGAACATCGAAACTAAGGTCAAGATGTGTACCAAACGAGACTTCTAAAAAGGAGTAGGATAAAGTGGGTTTTTTACCTTTATGAAGTAACTATGCCAGTCTTGTTCATGAATAAATTTCAGACGAGGTAAGAATTCAGATATGAAACATTTAGGATGGCCTTCGTACTGCTGTTCCCAGACATAACCAAAACCTATGCTAAACAATATAGACTTATGATTACACAATGCCATTTAGAAAGTGGTCAAATGTAACATATGTTATTTTTGGGATTAGACTTTCTTAGTAAAGTACATATTCTTATACCTTTGTTGGGTTGAGTCCCATCCGGGACTCGAACCCACACCCTCAGAGTCGGGCACCTAATCGCCAGCACACAAAGTCAGACGCCTAACCCGATCAGACCCGCGAAGGTCCGGGTGAGAATGAACCTTCCACAAAAAATGGAAGTCGGACTACCAGAATATTGCCAGTTGTCCGACTTCCATTTTTTCCCAGATGGGACTCAACCCAACAAAAGTTCAAGAATCTGTACTTTACGAAGAAAGTGTAATCCCAAATACAACATATGTTACATTTGACCACTTTCTAAATGACATCGTGTCATCATAACTTTCGGCCGTGGGAGCCGTGCCAATGCATTAACGCTTATCAGACGGATACACAAAGTCCGCAGTCAAGACTACCAGTTGTCCGACTTCCATTTTTTGTGGAAGTCGCGGTGGCTGAGCGGGTTAGTGAGTGAGTTGAGTTTTACGCCGCAATCAGCAATATTCCATCTATATGGTGGCGGTCTGTAAATAATCGAGTCTGGAGCAGACAATCCAGGGATCAACAGCATGAACATCGATCTACGCAGTTGGGATGCGATGACGTGTGTCAACCCAGTCAGCGAGCCTGACCACCCGAACCCGTTAGTCGCCTCTTACGACATGCATGGTTTACTGAAGGTTCATTCTCAACCGGACCTTCACGGGTCTGAGCGGGTTAGGCGGCTGACTTTGTGTGCTAGCGATTAGGTGCCTGACTCTGAGGGTGTGGGTTCGAGTACCGGATGGGGCTCAACCCAACAAAAGTACAAGAATATGTGCTTTAATGAGAATGTTACTATAAAGACTTACATTTGGTTGCCATATTATGAGACTTCTTTGGGTAACGATTGTCTGGCATACACCATAATTGTAACCAATAACTTATAACTCTCTTATATGCATAAATATACAAAGGGTAACGTTGAACTTTATTTCACATTCACTATATCAGACCAGCATCCGGAAAGCTTCGGCACGTTTGAGAGTACGCAAAGCTGCATTCAGGTGCACATGGCCTAGATAATCGAGTAACGGGATGTGTCTGACGTCGGTTGTCGTCACTGATGACTTGAGGTGAGGTGAAATTGGGTTTAACGTCGTGCTTGAGAATATTTCGCTCATATGACGACGTGCATGTGTGTGTATGTGTATGTGCGGCTGCTTGTACTAGCCCAGACTGAAGCTGGTTTTATAGTGCTAGAGCACTGAGATACCATGCCGCAGTGAAGCATGAATATCCCACTCAGACACATTATACTGACTCCGAGCCGACCAATGCTTGTTGTACCCATTAATGCCGAGCGCCAGGCAGGGAGGAACAAGTACCATATTTTAACGTCTTTTGGTATGACGCGGCCGGGGATCGAACCCGCGATCTTCCGCTCTCCGGGCGGACGCTCTAACCACTACACCACGGAGGCGGTCTACTGATGACTTGAACACATGATGAATCGAACATGAAACCAGGAAAATATTCTAGCACCTATTTCTAATTCATATTGTATCCTGTATATATATATTTTCTGACCATATACATTTTTTTAGGTTTACAATGTGCCATACTAGCACTGACATTCTGAAACTGAAACTAATCATGGAAATGACATATTTTGTTACCATGGTACTATATACATGTATTTCCTAACCCTTTTAATAGCTACCGCTGCTTTATTCACATCATGCGTGAACGCCTGGAGGTACAATTAGATCTACTTTTCATCAGGTATCCATGGTATCTTGGACGTTTCTAAATATATGGCTATAAGATTTGTCGATATTTCCATTAGATACCTGGAAGTCTGGAATGTAAGATCGCATTGTAAAAAGGCATCCTGGTCGATATTCATCAGTATACCAACTCGCAAGCGAAACGTTTGTCTGTCAGTAGATTTGGTAGGTCGTGTCAATCTACATGAGTGTTCCCGTTGGTGGAAATTGTCACGAGTGCAAGACAAGAAAGTATTGCGTTATTTTTTAATGTGTTTTTAAAATGTCGAATAAATATTTAAACTCATTTCATTGAAATGTCACCAAGAATAATGAGCATTGTTTATTAATCACGGTGTTTATTCAAGTGTGAAGTGTAAATTGAAACTATCTGAAAGAGATGTTTATCTGACTTAGTCCCTTCGACAAAGTGATCGAGAGAGGTTATAGGCCGCTCTTAGTATGCAGCAACATCACATCGGCGGACACGAGAAATGGGCTTGGTACAAAGTATCGTCGGCCAGCGTGACGAGCGAACGTTTTGACCTCTTGCCTACCTACAACTATATTCCACACAGTCAAAGGAATGTGTTGCTTCCATATTGTTGATTAATTTAAACCGATATACCTCGACTATGTCTCTAAAATATTGACTTAGACAATACAAAAGGCGATTGCTGATTTGTGAGCTTCCCACTGAAAGATTTGCCCCATGGACATTAAAATTATGTATTCTGATGATAATCCCCTTCCACGGTGATATACGTTTGCCAGTGATGGTGGAATTTGTCAGAGGTTTCTAGCTGTCCAAAATCTCTCCAGCAGATATGACGTCATGGTTCCACTACTTCATGTTGGAGAGATGACGGTTGAAACAAAAACACACTGCAGATTGTAGCCATGGATACCGCTGATTTGTGGACTTGATCATCGTCTGGATGGAAGAGAACTACTCTCCGTCTCCCAGTTTCATCTGGAAACTGACAGAATATAATAAAGAGCTCATTTGTAATGCGCTAAACTCCACGCCAGAAGGTATGCTCATAGCGCTACAAATTTGACTAGTTCAAATTTAGTAAGGTGGTAGTATTTCTTGAAGAGCAGGGTCTTTAGGTCTGACTTGAAAACATCAACACTTGGAGCTCTTTTCAACTCTTCTGGAAGAGAATTCCAGAGGATTGCAGCTTGAGTGGGAAATCGTCCGTAGCCAAATCCTTTAAGTCGCCACTTAGGAACAATACAGATAAACTGAGTTACGGGTCATAGTGTTCTGGTTGGGTGATATTGATTAATAAGCTGAAAGAGGTACGGTGGCGCTGTACCATTTAGACATCTAAATGCGAGTGTAAGTACTTGAATTCTATCCTGGCTTGAATAGGCAACCAATGTGGAGTTTTCAGAACTGGCTGTATGTGGGAGAACTTGGGTGTAGGAGTCACTATGCCTGCTGCAGTGTTCTGTAGGCGTTGAAGTCTTGAAACGGATTCTTGTGACATTCCAGACAATAAACTATTGCAGTAGTCTAGCCTAGAGAATATGAGGGAGCGGATCCTTGGTTATTAGGTGTCTCATGGTGCCGATATTCCTGAGATGGAAATGGCATATTCTGCAAAGTTCTTGTACTTGTTGCTCCATGCTAAGATTGGAATCCATGAGAACACCAAGATTCTTTACTACAGTCACGAAGGTAATGCTTTCTTGGTCAACTGAAATGTGTGTTTCTTTCACCTTCGTCAGCATGGAACCAACGAACATTGCATCAGTCCTGCTCTTGTTTAACTTCAGCTTGTTGGATGACATCCAGGACCCTATCTGTGCAGTTATTAATCTTGCTCAGAGTTAGATTTTAGTCTTAAACGACCAGGCTGTCTGAGAGCTGGGTATCATCAGCATACAGGTGATGATCAACGTCCTGTTTCTCTATCTCTTTGCCGAGTTGTGTTGTGTACAATGAAAAAGACATGGGTCCAAGGACTGATCCTTGTGGCACACCATAGTTGATATCTCAGCTTTGTGATCTTGATTGTCGCACTATAACTCTTTCACATCTGTCTGAGAGGTAGGATTCCATCCAATCTAGAACAGCACCGTTTAAGCCAAATTCAAGTTTGAGACGCTGTAAGAGCCATGAGTGGTCCACGGTGTCAAATGCCGCCGATAAGTCAAGTAAGACGAGAACAGCAGGCTGACCACAATCTACTGAGGTATGTAAGCTGTCCAGCACACACAGTAGAGCAGTTTCAGTACTGTGCTAAGGTCTATATGCTGACTGGAAAGTGTGACAAAGCATGTTTTCTTCCAAAGGTCCAAATCAGAACGAATTGTTTCAATCTTAGGATGAAATGAATTTAGATAAGTCAGAATCACTATGTGTATCTGGGAGAACAGTATTCGGGGCCTTGTTTAGTAATGAGTTCAAATGGGAGAACAACATCTTACGATTGCCAAGATTCTCAATAATCCTATCATTTGATTATTTGGCTCTTGATCTAACAAGTAGATGATTCAATTTATTCCTGGACACATTGTAAATCTGGTGATGTATCTCCAGTTTGGATTTACGCCACCTCCTTTCAAATGGATGCTATAACCTTTCAAGATGATGACAGCCCTTTGTGATCCTGATTATGCCAAATGCTAGACCAACGCTTTGTCTCTGATTATATATAATTTTGATAGTAACAAATAAACCCATTCAGATTGAAAATGAGCCCCAAAGAGATTGGAAATTCAGAGCATGATGAAATCTAGGCTTGCTTCATTTGGGCTTTAGCATTGCTGGGAAGGCTAGGCAGTAGGGAAAATAATGTGGTTCAGGGATTGGGAGGCAGACTAGTCAAATGCTTTTAGGTTTCTGAATGTTTTTCAAACTCAAGCTGGTATTGATGACCAAGGTTTCACCACTCTAGATTATTGGAGACATGCTGTGCCTGGCTTTGTGATCGAATATCAGAAGCCCTGGAATCCAACCAGTGGACATTGTCTCTTCTGCTACTAACAGCAACATAGTGAACATTGTCAGTCAGAAACATTCAAACTCTGCCACAGAGTCCTGTATAAAACCAATTCTCTGAGAAGCAAAAGGACAGATAGCAGCAACAGGACCAATCTCACTGAAGTCTTAGTGGTAGCGAGCACTATGATCTCATTTCAAAGAGATTGTGCAAATGCACATTGACATCACTGTTGGATCCAGAGGGGGGGTTCAGGGGTTCAACCCCCTGAACCCCACCTTTCAAAATTCCTGGATCCGCCCATGGACATCTAATGATCATAAATTGGCTCTTACAGTCTTTTGTGGCCTTTCATTCCCAAGGAATACAAGCATGAAGCACTCTTGCCCAACCATGAAGAGCCTAAGGTCAGTACCTAAAAGGAATGCGTGAGTGAGTTTGAAGCAATATCCACCAAAATCACAGCGGGACAAAAGAAATGGGCTTCACACATTGTACCCATGTAGGGAATTAAACCTGGGTCACCTTAAAGGGAGCTTCATCCCCATTTCTACCTAAACTTTTGAAAAATATAATTGTATTCATAGTGTAGGCTTCTAAACAAGTAGAGATATAATACAAAAAATAGATTGCGTTTCAAATGATCTATGAATTCTTCTGAACAGAGAACTACAGGTACAGGGTAAAATGAATTTATTTATTTTCACAAAATACACAGTGGATGGATTATCAGTTGAAATACTGTGGCAACATTCAACAAAGAAATACGGTGGCATCATTCAACAAAGAACAGTGTATCTCATAACATGTACAAACTATCACATTTCAGTCAATACTTAAGCTAAGGCATCTGAGTTCAAGGATACCCCAGACATCCAACAAAGATTCCAGCCAGGAATACGCTTACACAGTTAGTATGGCTAACTACTTGTAATGGTTTAACAGCTATTTGTGCAGCACTTTTTCAGTGAAGAATATATGTGTGTCAGAACCATCCTGAGTAAATTAATCACACATGAGTAAATTAATATATGATGATTGAATGATACCATAAGCACACCATATCATGTCTCACTCAGATGACAACTAACATTAGTGAACAAAACAGAGAAAATTATAACAATTTGAAAATGATAGAGACTTGGAAATATGATGACTACCTTTCATGAATTAGCTAGTTTAAGAATATTTCATAATTAAAAGACCTATTTAACCTTTAAGAAGAAGGAAACAACCATTTTAAATTTGTTAAAACAACAATTTGAATTCTCCAGTTTGTGTGGTTTCAAGCTTCCATACATGCAACCAAAGCTTTAAATGTCAGCTAACAAAAGTGTGAATGAATAGCCTTGGCCTTTCACTCAGGTGAAACATGAATAACCTTCACATTCAGGGCCACCTGGGAAATATACTCAAAGGTTATTCATATAGAAGATGGATTTGCAGTGTGTGTAGCAAGCACTGTTTTACACGGTTTCATGAAATAATCATCTCAAATGGAAAAGAAGAAAGTATTTCAAATGATGCATTCAACAAAACCATGAGAACAGTCTACAAAGAGGAAACGAAACTGATAGCACCATCGGGAAAAAAAAATAATAAAGGACAAAGAGACCAAGGTGACCAATCAGCTTCATTAATGAGGCATATAAGGGGAGGTATAATGAATAGGAAACACACATAGAACTTTCCATAGTACATTTGGTGCTCTCTAAAACTAATTCTTTCAGTCGGTAGCTATCTGAACCCCACACCAATAAACAGTGTCTAACCATGGTAACAATGATATCCTCACTGTATTCTCACACAAGACATTTCAGCAAAAGGATCAACAGCTCCTTCCTTTAAGGAAGACTGTGAAGACTTTGACAGATTACAAATAATTTGATTTTTGTGTGAAATTATATTTGATTTGGCATAATACTTGCCACAAAAACTGAATGTATGATCTAAGTGGTGAATGTCCATAAATGTGTCCACTCATTCAGTCTTGTGCAGACATACACAACCTCACCTTGCAAATATTGGATTCATATCAACTAAATATGACAACATTTTCACTTTTTGGAGAACGTGGTATATATTTACTTTGGCTTGAGACATGTATAAAAGAAAAACTTACACACATACCTGGACGGATGTTTTAATAATGTGAGTACTAAATCGCGTTAACATCCACACACTCAAAGCGCTAACATTATTTCCCCTGTCAATGAAGCAGTGTGCACTACAACTCAAGCTGCCTGTGAGGGTAACAGTCATAGGACTATCTCATCCCACCAGGTACCCATTCACTGCAGGGTGAACAGAGGTAATTTTGAACAAAGTCACTTGCCTAAGGTGAGACTACATGTGTTACATGTACTTCATTGTGGGGCAGGATTAAATGTCTAGAAACTCTCACAATACAAGCTGCCAGACATGGTCACCATTCCACGGACTCTCTGTGACTACTTCTGCTCTTTGTACAGGACCACACATCATATTTTTACAGTAAAACCTGGACGGATAGATCATGTTAACAATAACACACATGTATAAGCAGTGGGTTGTTATACACAGTAACAAATAATACTGATAGGACAGCGTGTAGGACTTCACTACAAGCTGATATCTGACCACACTTATCACATAAAACAACCATGAGCATGTCTAAACAGTGACTTCATGTGATCCAAGCACACCGATGTGGATCATTATCAGTGTGATTACACAATAAAATTTCTCCAAATGAAGCAGAGATACACAGTGGACCTGCAAGGTCAGTCAATGGTTTGTCACTTTTAAAATACAGTATCAGCCTGGTGTTAGGGACCGTTCATAATTTATGTCTAGGGTGGGGGGTAGACTAACAACTAGTCTCTGAAATGAACATATTTTACTGAAAAAAGTTCATAAAAAAATATATATATAATGAAAAGGAGCCCTGAGACTTTCTTCATTTTCAGAAGCTGCGTAAATCTAGACTTGCCACATTTTCTAGACTTGCGTGGCCTTTCTAGGATATATTTGCTTCAGGGTCTGTACGACAGACTAGGTGGGGTGGGGGTGGGGGGTTGGGGATGGTGGTGGGGTGATTATGATTTTTATGGAGAAGCATGTACAAAGTAAATGACCCCTCCACTCCCATGCAAGTCATGTACAAAATCAATTACCCTCCTCTCCCATAATTGTTAAGCATAATCTTTTAATATTCTGATGTACAAAATTGCTGACCCCCCTAGTACGTGTGTACAAATTGCTGACCCCCTCCAGCTCCCCAGAACAAAATTGGTGACCCCTCCTTAAAATCATCATCACCCCCTCTAGCCATACATTATGAACAGCCCCTTAATGATAGCGAATATTACAGAACCTGGAAGACTTGAACACTGGTAGTTTGAATAGTACTATGCAGAGTAAGATTGTTCAAATGAAGACCCAAATTTTACTGACCACCAACTTAAAATATTCCCCATTTGGACCGTCACATAACTTACAGAAAGAGACCCTGAACTTTTCAAGAGCTTGTCAAGCTCACTTGACCAAAACTATTTGACCAGATTCCTGGCTGTTCAAACCACTAACTGTGACTACATTTGGTATTCGTGAAAATTCATTCTCGATAACATATTGGGATGAAATACGGGATGAAGCATGGGAGAACACTGCACTCTCCTTGAATGAACTTTAAACCATGAATGGATTGTTAATAACACACCAATGCTTGACTGAATTTCATTGCATGAACTGACGACATACATAGCTGTTGTTAATGACATCTTTTTAACAAAGCTGTCCGAGCCGACACTAACAACTTGAAGGCATCTTCACTTCCTGGTGCTACACTCTTGTCAGGATGTAGCAACACGGCCAGCTTCCTGTATGCTTTGTTGACATCATCCCTGTGGAAAAACAACATGTACTTGTTACACTACACCATGGAGACGAGGGTGACAGAAGCCTCATGTTACTAAAAGTGGGTTTCCTTTCTCTAGATCTTTGAAACCATCAAAACGTTATTGAGTTATCCATAGTTGAAAGGATGCAGAGTGGTATTGGACCATTGTGCTGAAAATGGTTCTGCTTGAACCAAATAAATATCATTCCCCATGATACGAAACTAACTTTCAGTGTTTATATATGTCTTATCAATATCAAAAGAAGGCTAAATATAAAAGTTCTGCAGTTTATATGCACAGTTTGCCATAACGTGTTTGCCTCTTGAACAAAATATCCTGTTATGACCAAGGGTATCACTCTCATTAAAATCAGATCCTCCACCGACATGCTACCTCTCTGTGCATTAAGATCTGAGTGAGTGAGTGAGTGAGTGAGTGAGTGAGTGAGTGAGTGAGTGAATGAGTGAGTGAGATTTAACACTGCTTTGACCAGTATTCCAGTTACATAACATGGCAGCTTAACTTAGGAGGACCACTACAAGTGATGCAGGTGATGTTTATCACTTCGGTGAAACCAAACAATCATGGGTATGGTGACCAGGATCTGAACTCAAGGTTTCTTGGGCACCAGTGGAACGTAACTCTGCACTCTGTGTCCCCATAATAAGATTGGAAGATACCTTCATAGAAGGTCACTTCAGGTGAAATCTCAGTGAACATAAATTTTATGTTGAGTACATTTGCGGCTCAAAGCCTTGAGGCTGACTAGCTTATAACTTATAAGACAGTAACCTTATACGTCCAGCTATGGACATGACCGAGGTGTTACAGAGAGGTATAATGTCAGAGCTAAACATCTGATTTTAATGAGACCTTTGCACTGAAACTCAAAGCGACTGGATTGCTTCTAAACTTACTTGGATGCTCCCGGAGAGAGACCCAGTCTCTCGAAGTCTGACTTAGAGTTTTTGAGTTTCTGTATGGCGTCGATCTGTTCCTTGGTGTATCCAAGCTGTGTCTGCACAGGAAGTCGCTTCCCACCATTGTCTACTGTACTCACTACTCCATCAAACAACACCTACAACATGGACAGATACATTGTGTAAACATTCGCTCTCCTGATCCCACCATATGGATGATGGCTGGTCTGTACAAGGATTATTTAACGGATATTTTGAAAGTTTAAACTCAAACAAGTTATGTGTCAAATTCACACTTCACTGCAGAGGCACAGTTTCCAGTAACAGAGTGTGTCTATCACTATGAGATATCACACTGTCTATAGTCAGTGTGTACTAATCAAGTACCAGAAATCCAATACAAGGGAGACAACTACCTGAAACATATCATTGATTCCCTCCCCTGTCTGTGCTGACATTTCAAAGTAATGGTAGCCGCGAGAATCTGCCCAGAGTCGGCCTTCCATCTCATCAACAGCTCGTTTTTTGTCAATCTACAAAATATATCATACTTGATTAAGGCAACATCACAGTCTTTTGAGGCTAGTTAAATTTCTAATCTGTTGCATTTCCATCAGAATTTCTTTCAGATTTGTGGCTTTTGTTGTTTTAATTCTTTCATCTTATTGCCAAACACACATACCATGTTCAACATTTCTTTTGTAGTATACACACAAAATGGTGTCCATGTCTCACTGTTTTAGCACACACAAAGGTGTCCATCTTTCACAGACTTTGTCAGCTCACAGATACACAAAGGTGTCCATCTTTCACAGACTTTGTCAGCTCACAGATACACAAAGGCGTCCATCTTTCACAGACCTTGTCAGCTCACAGATACACATAGGTGTCCATCTTTCACAGACACACACAGGTGTCCATCTTTAACAGACACACAAAGGTGACCATCTTTCACAGACACATAAAGGTGTCATGGTTGTGGTCCTGTGCACAGAGCTCAGGTCACGAATCAGTTGAAGTTAAGCAACGTCGAGCTCGGACAGTCCTTGGATGGGTGACCGTGTTTGGCAGCTTGACTTCTGAGAGTTTCTAGGACTTCAGTCCTGCCCCACAACGAAGCACATGTGATACATGTGGCAAGTGAGTTTGTTCCAAACTGCCTCTGTTCACCCAGCAGAAAATGGGTACCCGGTTGGATAAAGTCAAGTGACTATAACCTTCTAGAGCCTAACAGGCAGCTTGGGTTATCCGGGGTAATAAGAATCAGATTCTGATTAATGGCCGCGAGCAAACACTTGGTGTTTTGACACTGTGCGCTATAGAAGATGACTTATTATATTATTATTATCTGTCACAGAAACACACAGGTGTCCATGTCTCACCTCAGTACACACACAAAGGCATCATCACTAATCTTGTTAGCATACCTAAAGGCAACCATCTTTCACAACAAGGGTGTCCATTTCCCACATCAGTACCCATAAAGGCATCCATCACTAACCTTGTTAGCACACACACAGACAATAGTGTTGTCAACCTCTGTCTTGTCGGCCATCTCATTTTGCATCTCCTGCACCCAAGCATCCAGAGACTCGAAGCTCACACGGTCAGACACATCAAACACAAGAAGTGCACCCTGTGCATCTCGGTAGAACTCATTGAGCACCTACAACATTACATGTGATTTGCATAAGAAATCAAACTATCACAAATCTGCATACACTATTTCTCATGTACAAACATACAGGAATATATCAATTTTACTTCAAATGGTTTACCAAACCAGTAATTTTGATCCACTGACATGAATACTTACACAACTTCAACATTGCAACAAAGATTTAACATCTTACCTCATAAAATATAGGATGCCCAGCCATATCAAAGATGTTGACTTTAACATCTCGGTCCTTCACACTGACTCTGCAATGGACAAGATATTCCTCATACCAGTAGAACGGGACCAGTGCAATTGCAAATCAACAATATGAGGTTACTGTTAGAAATGGTCCCAGCAACCAATGCTTGTCAGACAAGGTGACTAAAAGAATCCAATGTTCAAGCTGGGTCAGTTGGTTCGTTGGATGAAGGCTGTTGATCACAATATCTGTCGCTGGTGAGTGAATTTAGTTTTACGCCTCACTCAGCAATATTCCAGTTATAAGGGGGCGGTCTGTAAATAATCGAGTCTGGACCAGACAATCCAGTGATAAACACCATGAGCATCGATGTACACAATTGGGATACGATGATATGTGTCAACGAAGTCAGCGAGCATGACCACCTGCTCCCTTTAGTCGCCTCTTACACAAGTAAGGGTTACTGAAGACCAATTCACTGGTGATGGAGAACTGATTACTTACACTAATAAGTTAAAACAGGAATATTCATGTATGTGTGCTAAACATCTAGTGTAATGACCATCCTTGATGATCTAGGGTATCATGTCTCTATTATCATTGATTATATGTAGGATTACCATAAACCTATTCGTCGCAAAAGCTGTGAAGAAACTGCTGTTAAATCTCTCCATTGCTTTTACTAGTATCTTTTCACAGAAATTCTTTCCCATATTAGTTTTGACTTGACCACTATTTTTATTGTCACATATTTTGAATCAAAAGAGAGAGTAATCACTCTGGATAATCAAGGATGCAGTTATCATAATAATATTATCATAATATGATAATAACATGAAATTAATATTAACAATGAGGCCTTGGGATGACAACTTTACACCTTTGAGAGTTATAATAGCCCAGTGTCATTTATAAATCAGATTCTTTCACACTGACGTGATACCTTAGTTACAGTATCAACTCAGGACGCCTCCAAAGTAAGTCTTGTCTTAAACTAACAAACTTTGACCACCCAAAACAAATCAAGGATGCATGAGTTTTTGAGCAAGTCAGATGCTTTGTAAATCAATATCATATGTGATAATTTCTGTAACACCTAGATTTGTCAAAGTCAATGTCACCAAAAAAAAAAAACCCAGAAAACAGATATACCATACTGAGAATTCAGAATCATCAAGACTGATTGCTTGAATAGAACATTCACCTAGAGAGACCTCCTATGAGTATCTTCATATCTTCATGCAGAGATGTCAAGTATTGGAAAACAATTTCTAATTCTCATGCAAATAAAAATGTCATGTTATCTTTACAGGAAAATAACAGTATTTTCATGATATAAACTATTATCAAAAACAGCATTACTGAAACTTTGTTGTACTTACTTGGTGACGCCATAGTCGATGCCTATAGTGGCCAAGTATTTGTGAACAAACCTCTTCTCACAGTAGCGTTTGATTATACAGCTCTGTAAGGCAAAGGCAAGGAAACAATTGTTAAGGTTTTGGAACTATTTACCTGATCTATCTTGTGTCATGTTTACTCAGATCATTTCACAAGTGTTTGATGTTTCGTCTAAATGTCAGACTTGGCTGATGAATTTTGAGTTTTGCGTTTTGTATGAACATATTAAAGACAAGTCTGTTAGATGTTAACTTCTTGTGTTCTGAAGCCTAAGAGATGCACAGTCATGAATACTTGGTCGCGTACCGATCCGTCGAATTTCTGATTTCAGAGTAGTAAAATGCATTCGACGGATCGGCACTGTGATCTTAGTTATGAATTAGTTATAAAAACATTGGATCATACCAAAAAGAGTGATTGGGTGAGTGAGTATGATTTTACGCCACTTTTAGCAATATTCCAGCAATATCACAGCGGGAGACACCAGAAATGGGCATACCAAAAGGAAGACGCAAAGGGTGTTGGATGGTTTGGCTCTCTATATTTTTGTACTTTTGTACAGTATATATCTTTGCCTACTCATATGATACAATGAGAAATTGATGCATTAAATATATGTTTGGACTCTCTCTATTTTTTTACTTTTGTACAAAATTGAAATTGATGCATTAAATAAAATGCATCATAAGTACAGACAGACAGACATATTTATTTCTGTAATTCTAGGCCAAAGGCACATAATACAAAATGCAGGCACATTGGTACATCATGTTGTACATGCTTAAGTGTATTAGATACTGTACATATAATGGATAAATCATTGTGATCTCAGATTTGCTTCTTACTTTCTTTATATGACGAGGAGACGTCCAAGACAAATTATTGTGTTTATGTTGTTGCAAGAAACTGCGGTTAACAAGTGTACATGAAGGAAGGCATTCTTGTCTAATATCTACATATCTCTCACATATTGACATATTGATACAAAACATGCAGGCACAATGTTAACATCATATTGTAGATGCTTAAGTATTAGTACTATGAATAAAATGAATTACACATTTTAATATCAGATTTACTTCTTACTTTACTTTAAGGAGAAATATATAGTTCGTGAGGTTCAATCTTTTCAAGTAGTAATTTAGACTTGGTGCATAAACTTGGGAGTTTAATAATGTAATGTATACAAAGTCGCACGGAAGGGATTAAACTTTGCTCTCTCTAATCTCAAATATCTTTGTTATAAAAATTGCTTAACACAAGGTAAGTTGTTCATTTTGGTTGGCTAGTGGTCCTACAAACTTAATAAAAAGAAAATGGGTGTTTTGTATAATATTCTGGTAGATACTTTTGTCTGCTCTCCTCATACCTAGGACATACAAGGAGGACATGGAACTCGTCTTCATCTGTGTTTCTACAGAACGGGCAGAGCGATGCATCAGGGTCAGGGTTTTTAGCCCGCCGGGAATTTTGTATACAGAAATTTTGAGCACTACATCTGAACTTTGAAAGTGCTCTACGGAGCTTACCGATATCCTGTGCAAGCCACGTCCATCCAAAGCCATAACTAAATAGTCATTGCCTAACATATGATCGATGTCAGCAATCAGAAAGTCTTCACCGGAATTTGTTCTTGTTCATTAAAAAAACCCATTAAGTCTAATCCAATACAAGCCGACCCCTTAATTAATGAACTTAGACTCTCCCAGTGTGTTAACACAGTCTGAAATTCGACCGATTAGCACAGAACAACTCAAGCATGATTCGACGGATCGGCACTGCTGGATGTTAAAAATTCGACGGATTAGGCCGTAATCGAATACTTATGTCCAATGATTGCACGTGATGCTGGAGCTCTTCGTTAATTTCCAAAAGTATTGTGTGACTTGACGATACTTTTCATCTGAGCCCCAAAGTGTCAGTTGCATAAATAGTATGGGTGATATATATTTACCTTGCCAGTCTCAGCGTTCCCCATGCTAATTATCTTGATGCGCAAGGAACGATGACTACTTTTGTTGGACATGATGGACGATATTACAGAGACTCTCTCTGTTATTAATGGTAATTGGTGATGTGATTCATCCGTTCAACAAATTGCCAGTGATTCCGGTATGTTGTCAAGAACGCTATTATGTTCATTTGACATTTCACTGTGATTTCCATCCTGTATGAGCCATTGAGGCCCCAAGGAATTGAACAAAAACTAAAAAAGCACTTTGGCCTTCCTTAGAAATCCCACTGAATGCGTTACGTTGTGCGTGTTTCATCTACACCGAGTTGCTAAATTCCTCTGTGTTTCGGCCATGCCCAAATAATGTTGACAACTCAATCGGGAAATGTCGACGATTTACGAGCACTATACCATTATTCCTACGTGAGACAAGCTATCATATGAACGTTCCGATTGATTCTAAGCTTCGCATTAAATGCTATTCGCTTTTTCATTGGTTGTAACTATTCTTCATGTATGTTTACACGCGCGACGAAGGATAACTCTGTATGTGACAAAAGAAAGTTTATATTAATAGAAGAGACTATAAAATACTTATAAACCCTTTCTGCAATGCAAAAGCCTTAAACGTACTAGAATCTGTACTTTGTTTAGAAAGTCTTATCCCAAATATAACACAAGTCATTACGTTTGACCACTTTCTATAAAAGCATTTTGCATGAAGCAAGTCTAGATTTCCCCTTGATGTTCAGGTTCTAAATCTCCCAGCTTACTGGCGTTCATTTTCCGTTTTAATTGAATTGTTTCTTTTTAAAAATGTATGTTTTCAGAAACTAAGGGTTAGTATAGATGACATGCTTGCTTCGTGGAGTATTTGAAAGTGATCCATGCAGCAATGTGGCAATACTTACATAATAAAATTGATTCCTGGCTGTCGTGTTTTGTCGCTTAGAACTATACGTAGCAACCTGTTCTTTCAGCAAATAATGCCAATAAATTTAACTATTACAGTTAACTATCAAAGTAACTATGATTTCAGGTATAACTGGGGCCTTGACATTTGTTTTTTTTAAATGTGTATGAATGTAGATTTGATCTCATCGCTATATGGCTGGAATAATGCCGATGTAACGTAAAACTCAACTCAGCTTCCAACTGTTACTCAAAAGGTTGCTAAACAAGACATGCAAATGGTAATCTCACTCGTAATGAGAATCTAAAAGCCTCAGTAGGCCTTTGAACTTTTGCATATGCCGTCTGAAAACTGCATTTTCTGCCAAGAAACATGGACCATTCAAGTTCACATGCCGGTAATGTTTTTATATTTCTAAAACATGATCTCATGGCATACCGTTGTTGTGGTAAATGATAGATGCTGTCTCCCCTCATCCGCTCCAACATCTGGTTTTCTGTGTTTGTGACAGATGATCAGTAGATGACATACTGGAACCTCCTTCTACACCAGATCCCCGTTAATCATTACAGTACTAGACAATAACCAGATAAGGGAGAAACCAGTGTGTAAAAAGCATCATGTGAGTCCATTTCATTATGTGAAGGTTGTTAAGATTACCATGATTTCACTTCACGTACGTGAGCATCAGGGTTTGCCCTTAACACTGAAAATCTGCAGGCCCTAAGGACCCAGAACCATAAAAAGTTGTGGTTCCTGATCAGAATGTTTAGGCCCTATATTTTAATATGGAAATAATACTCTTATTTGTGGATGAAAAATCTGTCGGCCATTTTAAAAGACCTGCAGAAAACAAAAGCTGTGGGTCCTAGTGGTTTTCAGTCGGCTTCGGGCCTAAGGACCGATGTTAATTTCCACGCTGGTGAGCATGAGACATGGCCATATACATTTACAGTTGGGTGATCCATGAGCACAGATGACAGAACTATTGGTCAATTTATGCACGTGTCCCCACTGAATATCTAAGAATTACGATTTATGAGACCATCTGTAATTCTTAGTAACCCACTCATATAACTTTCACAGCTGTTTTGCCTTTCACGCCCAGTGGAATCATCGGAAACTCAATACTAGTTATTCTCTAGCATTGACATTTTATTTACTGCAAAACCTACTTGTGAGTACTAGTTACAAGGGGATCTAGTCAAATGGGCCGAAGGACAAAAGGGCCGAGAAGTGCCAAGTCAAATGGTCCAATGGAAAAAGTCAAATGGGCCGTGGTGAAAGTCAAATGGGCCTAATTCTTAGTCATATGGGCCGGAAAAAACAGTTTACAAATGTTTTTCATTTTATTATTGACATGTATAACATTAAAACATAATATCATAACAATATCAATAACATCCTCAGCTATGGACCTAGCAGACTTGAACAGGTCTTGTGTTGCAGCCTTCTTCACCTATAGCAACAAGGTTAATTGATCTAATTAAGAATCCATTCGATTCGTTAACATCTCCAATTAACAATTGAGGAAGTTAACAGTTATGGTCCAATTAACTACTAATTAGGAATCAATCAATAGGGAGTACTACCCACCTGAGTCCTTACTTGGATTGAGATTAGTTTTCCTGGCACTCTGTCTATTGTGGACTTGGTCTCGGCAACAGTTGCCTTACATAAGTCAAAGTAGTCTTCACGAATCATCCCTGAGCCACAAACCCTGTGTGTCCATGACTAACATTGATCACACGCTAAGGCGTGCTGGTTCCTTTCTACAGTCTTGAAACACTTCACACGATACACACCAGAATATCTAAGTGAACTGCTAACCCCCTACAAACCATCCAGACAACTGCGATCTGACAGCAGATTCTTTTTGAAAACTCCTTCTTATAGACTGGCCTCTTATGGAAAGCGTTCTTTCAGTGTTTGTGCTCCAACGCTGTGGAATGAACTACCCCTCGCCTTAAAACTGTCTCCATCTTTTGCTGCGTTCAAATCACATCTTAAAACGCATCTCATTTCACTGCACTATTAACTCTATATTCAAACATTATTATTATTTTGTAGCGCTTTGAGCACCCACTTAGTGGTTGGAATTAGCGCTATATAAATTTCCATTATTATTATACAGATTAGTCATGACCAAGACACTTAACAACGAAAACATTTGAGTCACATGTTCAAATTCCATTTAAAATAACAACAACAACAACAACAACAAACTAAACCCTATTTTGTTAAGTAACGTAAGTAACTTATAAAATATTTATTTTTCGGCCCGTTTTTCGGCCTTTTGACTTTTGATTTCGTCCCATTTGACTTTTGGCTTCGGCCCATTTGATCTTTTTTTTCGGCCCTTTTGTCCTTCGGCCCACGATCCAGGAACTATTACCTACTACTAGCAGGTCTTTGTTAGCAACTGTTAGCTGCTACTAGCAGTTGCAAAGACAGCCTTTCTGGCCCTGGAGGCTAACAATACTGCTACTACTAGTAGCAGCTAACAGTTGCTAACAAAGACCTACTAGTAGTAGGTAATATTTCCTGGATCGGGTGCCTTCGGCCCATTTGACTACAACCCGTTACAAGCTATCCGGATTTAGACAACCAATTCGCATGGATAGGGAGGGATCTTCAGGTAAGGGAAAAGGTAACGGGTGGGGAACTGTGTATGTATATGGACCAAAATGGTGTAAAAACTATGTCTTACGTGAACGTTTGTGCACAAACGACGTGGAAATATTGTCAGTTTCATTTAGGCCATTACACATTAACTCAAGCAAAGCCGCTGATTCAATTCGGACAATTACGGGGAAAGTGCAAGCTCTTTCATCGGATGCTCCCAACTTCATTATGGGTGATTTTAATAAACTTTCTTTAAAAGATGTACTTCACACTATTTTCAATATGTGACGTGTCCATCCAGGCGAGACAAGACATTGGATCTTTGTTACTGGAGTATTCGTGACGCTTACAAATCCTATGTAAAGTCGCTGTAGATCGGGACATCAGATTATAACGCTATTCATCTTGTGCCAACCTACAAGTTGAAGTCGGAAAAACCTGTTCTCAAGGACCACTGAGTCACTGGATCAACCGAGAGGGTGTTTTGAGTGTACTAATTGGGACATTTTTGAAGGAGCATGTAATACTCAGACCAAACGACGATCTAAGAGGTATACATACGCCTTTACCCTCATCTGATGATTTAATCATTTCCAGAAGTGATGTTCTGTTGTCATTTAAACAACTCAAAGTAGGCAAATCTTGTGACTCTCCTGCCAAATATTCACTCTCATCTGGAGACTTGTAACAACTATGTGAGAAACCTCTTTACTCATTTTTCTTCCGCCTTCAATACCATCCAGCCACACCTTTTGATGAGTAAAGTGATTAATCTAGGTGTCAATAGCAACATGATCAGATGGTTATTCATGGTACAAAGAACTCAGTATGTCAGTGTCAACGGATATCAATCGTCTTTTCTCTCAACCTCTACTTTCACCCTTACTCTTCATTTTGTATACCAATGACTGTTACTTGTCATTAAATGACATGTTTACTGTGAATTTCGCAGATGAGGCCGCTGTTACTGGCCTAATTTCTGATTCTGAACATTATCATCCTCAAAGCATTGAACAGTTTCTATTTTGGTGTAAAGACAATTAATTTCCTTTTCTGAATGTTAAGAAAACTAAGGAAATGGTGGTTGTTTTTTTGAGAAATAAGGAACGTTTATGTACATCCTCTTATAACTGATAATGCAGAAATTGAAAGAGTGGTCCATTACAAATATCTCGGAGTCATTTTAGATTCAAAATGATAGTTTCCATATTTTATCTCACCATTTTGAACCACTTCTTCCTGGACCACTCTTTCGCTAACCTTCCTTCAAAATAAACTGACCTCGACTGTCTTTCATACCACCCAGTATTCGTGAATAGAACAAGTGTTTTGAATCATCATGAGGTGATAACTATAAGAATTATTCAGCCTCTTTACCCATGTGGTTAATTGTATTGAATCATGTCAGTTTGATTGTGTATATGTGTGTAACCAGCATTCATTTTATTAAAGGATAAGTGGTCATTTTTTAATATCTATGCATCTTACCTTCACTTGTGCCTCCTGAAGTTTACCAGGCTCTATGGGATGGGGTGAGGTGAGGTGAGGTGAGGTGAGGTGAGGTGAGGTGAGGTGAGGTGAGGTGAGGTGAAATTGGGTGTAACGTCGTGCTTGAGAATATTTCGCTCATATGACGACGTGCATGCGTGTGTATGTGTATGTGCGGCTGCTTGTACTAGCCCAGACTGAAGCTGGTTTTATAGTGCTAGCCCACTGAGATACCATGCCGCAGTGAAGCATGAATACCCCACTCAGACACATTATACTGACTCCGAGCCGACCAGTCCTTGTTGTACCCATTAATGCCAAGCGCCAGGCAGGGACCAACAAGTACCATATTTTAACGTCTTTTGGTATGACGCGGTCGGGGATCGAACCCGCGACCTTCCGCTCTCCGGGCGGACG